AAATTAATAATTGAATTTAAAGGAATAGATTTCTTTAAATTAACAAAAACTTTTTTCTAAATATATAAAATAATAAAATATTAATTTCAGTATTTTATTATAAATATTATATAATAATAAAATAATAATTTCTGTATTTTATATTTACAAAAAAGTTTTGTGTTATCAAGAGAGAAAATTGCAATTAAAATTAAATTGAAAATTAAAAAGAGGATTTTTATAAAAAAAAGTACATATTTTGTATAATAATAAAATAGACAATTAAATATTTCTTTTAAATATTGTAATTTATTTTTTTTTCCTCCGGCACTTTTTATATAATCTCCTCCACCCCACCCCCGACCATGTATAGGAATTAACGATACAGATGATGAAACTTGTAGTTGAAAACTAATTTTTCAGAGGAATTAACTTCTTTTTTTTCTTTTTGCATTAAATCGATTTGAAATTGAGCGATTAACTTGAAGTTCAGTTTGGAAATTTTCTTCTGAAAAGAGGTAGTTTAAGGTAGAAGAGATTACTTGATAGAAAAGTAAGGAGAGCGTATAATGTGATTTGCAAGGAAAAGCAGTGTTATTGAAATAAAAAAAAAGTTCATTTCTGTAGATGCGAGAATAAGATACTTTTAAGAAAGTCAAATAAAAATTGTGTCCTGCGCTATAATAGTGAACGAAGAAATAAATTCCTATTTCAATTGAAATTCGATGAACTGAGATTATATTCTTATTTTTTTAATTTTATATTTTATTTTAATTATTTTTAATTGTATTCCTTTTGTTATTTATTTATTGTTACTTTTTTTGCAATTTCTTTCTTATTTTTAATTTTTTTTTATTCTCAATTTTTTAAAATATTTTTTCTTTAGGATTTTTAATTTTATTTTTAATAAAGGGGACTTTTTTAAATTTAAATTTGATGGGATTCGAACCAGCGACGCTTGTTTTTGTTTTCCATATCTTAATCTTGATTTTAGTATTTTTTTCAGTATTTTTGTTTTTAATATCTTTAGTTTTCCTTTTAGTATTTTTAAAAACGATTTTAATAAAGGAAATTTTATCTTTTTATTTAAATTCAACGGGAATTGAACCCACGACGCTTGATCAGGTGTCAGGCGTTTTTCCACGCGCCTAATTGTAATTTTATTTTTCTTTTCTGTATTTTAATCATATTTTCAGTATTTTTAGTATTTTTAGTTTTTTTTTAGTATTTTTGTTTTTAACAACTTTAGTTTTATTTTTAGTATTTTTTTTTTTACTTTTCGTACTTTTTCTTTTAATATCTTTACGTTTGTTCTTAGTATTTTGAATATTGATTTTAATGAAGGAATTTTTTTTAATTTACATTCGACGGGATTCGAACCATCGACGCTTCATCGATAATGTTCAGGCGTTTTTCCTCTCGGCTAATTGCAATAAATTTTAATTTTGTTCCCAAATTATTTGATAATTTTCTCATCTTGAATTCTTTGAATTTATTTTTAATTATCTTCCTTTTAACAATATTTTACTTTTTCCCTGAAATAACAAAATATTTTACGAGAGAAACATTATTTGTTTATATTTTTGAGATCATATTTTTTTTTTTGCCTTTGTTTTCGAGAAATGTGTACATATATTAAATGAAATATTATTAGTAAACACACCTCGAATAATGTCATCACATTTACCATAAACATTATTTTTGTATGTGTGTGGGTGGGTGTGATTTTTTATTTCTCTTTCTCGTATGCGTTACACATAGATTAACGATTTGAAAATGTAGCTTGACTCTTGTCCCTTATTGGACGGTCGCCATCCGTGTCGTTTTCATTTCCGACATTTACATCTCTTCCGGTAGTATAGTAGAACCACGCGTAATTCATGATTCCCTGGGTTCCCTGGAGTTCTTTTTTTTCTTCATTTTTTTTTTTTCATTCACGACTATAATGTTTTGATACTTTTTAGCCTCCACTGTAATTGATTTCACGCAGTTCTCCCTTCTGCACGTTTCTGTATATATTATGTATTTTACAAATATCTATAGTCTATATAATCTATATTCTATAATTTATAAATTCTACAGTCTACATATTCTATGTACTTTATATTCGAAATATTCTATATTCTATATAATCTATATTCTATATATTTTATATTCAAAATGTTCTATATTCCATATGTTCTATATTATATATATTCTACACTTATATATTAATTAATTAATTAATTAATTAAAATTAAATAAATAAATAAATTATAAATATAAATACTTTCATAAAGAATGAAAAACAAAAAAGAAATTACTATATAAAAAAAATATTCAAATTTACTAAATCCTAGGTATTAAAATATTAAAAAATAAAAATTTTCTAAAATTTGAACTTTTCTTTTTTAATTGATAATGATTTTTATTGATAATAAATCAAAATTAATGCAAGAGAATTTTTTTAATTTTTAATTTTTATATATTAATTTATTAATGATTTATTATTTATTTATTTATTGCTTCTGTCTTCTTTATAAGAAACTTTATTTATTGTCTTTATATTTACAGGCCACGGATCGACTTTAACGAGCAAAAAAAAAGTCGCTGTAGTCGATTAAAAATAGAAAAAATGTCGAAAAAGTCGTTTATTTAATATAGTGTTGTCATAAAAATTTTATTTTCTATTTACCTGAATCTTAACTAATTTTTAAATTCAATTAATGAAAACTTGAATAATTTTGCTAAATAAATATTTAAATATATTTCTTATTTCTTTTTTCTAGGGAAATTATAATTTTAAAAAAATTCAACTTGTGAAATTTAATAATTCCTAAAAATTAAAATTATAAAGTAACCCTTTCAAAATTCAATTATTTTCTACAATTTTTAACTAAACTTCATTTCTCAATCGATTATCTATATTAATTTTTAAATAATTTTCCGAAAGAATATAATATAATATTTTCATAAATTTTAATAAAGAAAATTCTTATTATTAATTTTTTTTAAATATTTAAAAATAATTTTTGAAAGACAATTATATACTACAATTATATAATTTTAATTATATTAAAAAATGTCCAAAAAATTAATATTTGGTAAAATCTTTTTTTAAATAATATTTAAAATTTGATAAAATCTGTTGAAAAATAATTGAAATTGGGTAAAATCTTTAAAAATAATTAAAATTTGATAAAATCTTTAAAAATTAATTGAGTTTTTAGAAAATATATTAAAAAAAAATCAAATTTTTGAAGAATTTTAATTACCTATAAATAATTTCTTTGAAATTTTAATAATGATAATTGAATTTATAACAAAAAGTTTTGTATAATTTTAAAAAAATAATTTTTTGAAGAATTTTAATTAAAAATTTTAAATATGATTATTTTCTTCAAAATATTAAAAATAATTCTAAAAATATTGTAATGTTATTATTTTTTGTATATGTATGTATTTGAATTTTTGGAAATATTTAATCGAGAATATTGAAAATAATTGAATTTTAAAAAATTATAATGAAAAAATTCTGAGAATTAGTTTTTTTAAAAATATTTTAGTATAAATATTAGAAACAAATTTTCATTAATTTTCATTAATTTTCATTAATTTTCATTTTAATTATAAATTTACACTCGAAGATTTTTCATTAAAATTTTTGAGAATTAAATTCTTATCAAAAATTTTGCAAATTGAAATTCTTTAAAAGTTGATTTTCATATAATAAAATACTCGAAAAAAAATTTACTATTTTCAATCAAATTTTACAAAATTTTAATTATTATTCAAAAGCTTTTTAATTGTATATTTCGAAAATTTAATTAGAAAATTTATTCAAAAATAGCTTCTCAAAGATTTGTCTATTATACTTTTCACACTATAGGTAATAAAAATCGAAATAAGTTGCAGTTTATTCTAAAAATGTGGTATTTTGTCGCAAAATTTGTAAAAAAAAAGTTGCATTTTTTTACTATAAGTCGATAAAAGTCGCATTATTTGAAAATAGTCGAAAAAAAGTCGAAAAAATCTTAATATCCGAGGCCTGTATTTATTATTAATAATTATTTTTTAAACAATTTGTATGTAAATTAAAAATTTTCTTATTATTTATTTATTGTTTCCTTATAGATGAATTTTTTTGTTTATTAATTTTTTAAAAACTATTTGTCCGAATGTTTTCGTTTCATTCTCCTTTACTATAATTTTTTAATAATTTTTTAATAATAATTGTCATGTAAATAATTTGGATATAAGTTTACTTACTTATTATTTATATAAATTGCTTTCTCAGGGAATTTTTTTTATTTATTGTATTTATATTTATTATTAATAACAATTGTTGTGTAAATATTTGTATATAAATTCAATTTACTTATTATTTATTTATTACTTCCTTATAGGAAGCTTTGTTCATTTATTTATTGTACTTGTAGATATTTACCTAGTTGATTCGAATAATTTTTATTTAAATAAATAAAATAATTTTTATTTAAGTCGAGTAAATTATTTTTCAATTAACAATTTCCGCATTTTTTAAATAAATATAATTAAATGTGAATAACATTCAATTTTCTTATTTTATTTATTAATTAGTAGTTTTAGGAACTGTTTTTGTAAATAAATAAATAAATAAATAAATAAATAAGTACATAGTAGTATCACTCGGTAAAAGATAATTTTCTTGACATTTTATGTAAAATAAATAATAATTAGTAAAGCAAATAAAATAATAATTAACAAAATTAAAAAAATAATAATTAATATTTAATTATAATAATAAAATAAATTAATATAAAATATTAAGAAAATTATCAATCTTCCAAGTCAAAATTTTGACTTTTAGTTTGACTTGGAGTTTTGATAATTTTCTTGATATTTTACACTGTATTTACATTTCCTATTATCAATAATAATTGTCATGTAAATAATTTGTAAATATAAATCTAAAAAATAAATTATTCAGTTTCCAACTGGAAAATTGAATGAAAAAAAAGGAAGTAGGAGAAAATTTAAGAAATAAATTGTTTTGCTTGCAGTACACGTCGGGAATGGGAGCAGGCGGACAGGCGAGCAGCGTCAGCTACAGTAGCGTCAGTCAGAGCAGTGATGCTGGAGTTTGTCCCGCAGCGCCTGGACCACGTGGCAGCAGTATATGACGACAACCTGGGCCCCGACATGGGCCACGACGTGAGCGCGCCATTCGCTTTCGGGACACGTGATTGTAAAGGAATTCATCCCATTAATCCTCGACTCAAAAACTATTTCCAAGCCATCATCCTCTCGATCGGATCAAAGAAAAACAAAGAAAACACCTCTTCTTTTGATGGATTTGCCCCGGAAAACCAAAAAAAAAAAAAAAAAAAAAAAAATAGGGAAAAAACTGAAAAAGAAAACACATCTTTAAAAAACAACTCTCGCTGATTCGTTATCTCGAAATAATGCAATTGGAAAACTACTGCGCTCGAAATAGTAAAAAAAATTGATGCTCGAAATAATAGAAATAAAAAAAAATAATGCTCGAAAAAATACAAATAAGAAATTAATGCTCGAAATAAAACAAATGAAAAATTAATGTTCGAAGGAAAATAAATAAAAAAATGCTCAAAAAAATAAATAAGTCACAAGAAAGAAAAAATAATTTCCAGCCCCCTACAAACAAAATAATAAGATTCGGTGCAAAAAATTAAGACTAGAGTGGAAAAATTGACGTTTTTCCGAAGATGGAAAATTCAAAGAGAAAAAAGGGGAAAAAATAATGTTTCTTCAAAGAAGAATTTTAATAGTAGAAAAATTAATCGAAATAAAGGAAAAAGGCAGAATGTAACTACTACAGAAATTTCAAAATTAACGAGCATATGTTTTTTCGAGGAAAACTACATAGTTGAAAATTCTAATTTGAGGAAAAAAAGCAAAATTCGAAATTTTCGAAAAAATTAGCAAAATGGGAAAAATTTTCTTTTCAAAATTTCATCTGTAAGAAGATAAAACTACAAATTCGGCTGTAAAAAATTTTCCAAGAAAAAAAGGAAATTGATGGAATATTTAAGGAGGAGGAAAATAGAAAATTTTTCACAGATTGGACGAATCAAGAAAAAATTATTCCTGGTGCTTGGAAAAGTCCGAATTGAAATTTAAGAACAAAAAAGAATGAAAAATGTGTTTTTTTTTAAATTTTCCAACATGAGGCAAAGTTTTCAAGATATCCTCGAAAATGTCATCGAACAAAAAAGCAGGAAAAATTTTCAACAGTAGAATAAACATGGAAAATTAAACAAATTTTCGTAGGTGAAGAATTTGAAAATTGAAAACAAGGAAAGTTGGCAAAAATTGGAAAAATTTTCTTATCCGAAAAGAAAAATTTCAAATGTAAAATAAAAATAACTGAAGATTAACCAAAATTAACTTATTGGTGAAATTTTGGAAAAATTCTGGAAAATTTTCGAAATGGAGACTGAATTTTAAATGGAATTTTCAATGTAAAATTATTAGCAAAAATTGTAAATGAAACAATTATTATCAAGAAATAAATTGGAAATTAAATTGAATTTTGAAATTGCGATTCAATTCTGGAAAATTTTCGAGAAAAAAAGAGACTGAAAAATGGGTGGAAAAAAATTCAAAGGCAGCTGGTGGGAAAATTATTTCTAACATCCAAACTTCGGTGGGTAAAAAATTGTAAAACTGTGGAATTATTAAATTAAAAATTAGAAAAAAATAAATTAAATTAAATTTAAAAAAAAAATTGGAGATGAAGAATTTATCAAGAAATAAATTGAAAATTAAATTGAAATTCAAAATTGAGATTCAATTCTGGAAAATTTTCGAGACGAAAGTGGAAAATTTTGAAAGGAAGGTGCAACATTATTTCCAACGTTCAAAATTCTGTTCGTGAAAAATTTTAAGCAAAATTTTCTGTTGAAAATTATAGACGAAAATTCAAATTTAATTCTGGAAAATTTTCGAGACGAAGATGGAAAACTTTCAAAGAAAGGCGCAAAATTGTAGTCGAAAATCCAATTCAAATTCAATTCTGGAAAATTTTCAAGACGAGGAAGGAAAACTTTCAAAGGAAGGCGAAAAATTGTAGTCGAAAATTCAATTCAAATTCAATTCTGGATTCAACGTTCAAAATTCCGTTCGTGAAAAATTTTAAGGAAAATTTCTAATTCAGAATTATGGTCGAAAATTCAATTCAAATTCAATTCTGGAAAATTTTCGAGACGAAGATGGAAGACTTTCAAAGGAGGGCGCAAAATTATAGTCGAAAATTCAATTCAAATTCAATTCTGGAAAATTTTCAAAGGAAGGCGCAAAATTTATAGTCGAAAATTCAATTCAAATTCAATTCTGGAAAATTTTCGAGACGAAGATGGAAAATTTTCAAAGGAAGGCGCAAAATTGTTTCCAACGTTCAAAATTCAGTTCGTGAAAAATTTTAAGCAAAATTTCCAGTTAAAAATTATAGTCAAAAAAATTTATAAGTGGAACTATGAAGAAATTAACTCGTAAAAAAATATAATTCGAAATGGAATTGAAATTCAGAAAATTTGGGGAAAATTGGGAAAGTTCTAGAAAAGTTTCGAGATGAAAAAAAAACTGAAAAATAGATGGAAAAAAGTTTCAAACGGCAAACGTAGGTGGAAAATTGGGAAGGAAAATTTCCATATTGAGAAGAGAATTTTCCGTTCGAGGAGAAACAAGAAAGAAAAGTAAATTTCGAGAGCGAGCCAGCGGGAGTATCGAAAAGCAAATGCATCGCCTGTCTTCCAATTTGGGAAATTTTGTGCAAATTTTCGTCGCACCTTGTGTGAAAATTCACACAACCGAAAAATAAGACAATTGTTTCATCTAACAACTTATTTCCCCGGAGACTTTAAGCCTTCCTCTCTTTCTCTTACTCTCTCACTCTCTTTCTCTCTTTCACTCTCTCTCTCTCTCTCTTTTTCGAAATAAATGATACTGTGTGTTCTCGCCTTTTTGGAGCTGACATTTCGAAAAACAAAACTAAAACTTTCCCTCGAATAGAAAAAAAAGGAGGAGCAAAAGGCAACTTTTCTTTCAGTGCTGTGATGTGTGTTTGTGTCTGTATTATAAAATGCGTACGCGTGCTTTGTTCAAATTCGTCTCTCTTCTCCATTGTTTTATTCTTTTCTTTCATTATTTCCTCTTCTTTTGTTCGAAAATAAGTACGATTGATTTCTACATGAAAGACGTTAAAAAGAAAGACGAAAAACTAAACCAAACAAACAAGTTTCATTGAGAAGAATTTTTTTTTTCGTGCACGTATCGACTGAGCGCGAAAATAAAAAAAAACATTTCCGAACATTGTAGTGATATTTAAAAGAAAAAAAGAATTTTTACTTAAATTAATTATAAGTGAAAAAAATTAGGCTGGAGAAATATAAGACAATTATATAAATATATATATATATATATATATATATATAAAAAAATTCTCATTGTTAAAATTATTGTGCTCAGAGAATAATAATTTTAATTGTATAAAAAAATTTTTCTCACATATTTGCGATCCAAAAATGATATACAGAATAAATATTATTGATATAAAAATAAACACTGTTAATATATAAAAAATGATGAAAAGGAGAAAAAAAAATGATAAATTAATGACGTCCTGGAAAAATGTCCAATTATAAAAGAGAAAAAAATATAAAAAAGAAAATAAAAACTTTGTCAAGCATTGTCAAAATTTGAATGTATAATATTGAAAGAGACATACAAACGACTGAAAAGTTATACTTACAATCAATTTCAAAATGATGATTTCTTATTTCATATTCTTTTTCCCTCCCTTTTACTTATTTCAACAGTTTGCAGAAAGACATCGAAATTTTTTATTATGAAAATGTATCGTTTTATTATACAGCATATAGATTCCTGATGGGAAAAAGTTGGAGTTTGTTCAAAAAACTTTTGTCTATATGAGTTTAAAATTTTTTCCCCTTTCGTTATTTCCATTTTATAGTATTTTATTTATTTGATTTGGAAATTTATATTTGGGATAATAAAATAACTTTAAATATTCTTTGTCGCAAATTTTCGAATTTTATATATATGCTTTTCATTTTAATAACTCCATTATTATAATAACAAAATAATAATATAAAATAATATAAAATAACACAATAATAAAATATAATTATTTTAATTATAATAATTACATTATTAAAATTTTTAAATTTAACATTTTATTTTTTCTTTACATTTTAATTATATTATTATGATTATTATTGCTTTGTAACAAAAAATATTTTATTTATTACAAAATATTTAGAACTTTTTTAATTAAAAAAGCAAATTTAATAATAATTACATATTATTATAAATAAATAAATTTAAATAAAAACTTTGGAGTTCAAACAATTTTTTCCGTAGGTACTATTGTTATTTTCTCATATTCTATTCGTCTTTTTTTATATTCGTGAAATTATTTTCAATATTAAAAACTGGTTTCTTTGCATTTTGATTTTTTTCCTAAATCAACGTAAGAATCGCAACAAAGCAAGAAAATTCCAGGTATTTAACACATTTTCTATAAACTATTTAGATATTTGTGAATGTTTCTGTAAAAATTGTTTTTTTATCCAAATAGTAAATATATATTTTTTTTAATAATTAGGCATTAATTGTTAATAATTAATTACGATTAAGTGATTTATTAAAAAATATTTTTTTTTTGCCTTAGAAAATAAAAATAAATAAATTATTTTCATTCAAAAAAATGATCAGTAATATCATTTTTTTTCTCTTGAAACATTAATTTTAAATAAATTTTTTTTTACAACAAACGATAATAAATAAAAGTATAAATTTTTGCCAGGCAATAATTGTTATAATTTTGTTCAGTATTTTCCTAGAAGTTTAAATTTACTAAAAATTATTTCATAATCAAAATTTTTAAAATTCACTTATAAGGTCCAAATTAATTATTATTGTTTATATTTTCAAAAATTTTAATATAATTCTTCGCAAGAATTCAATTATTTTTATATAAATAATAACATTCTTTGGAAGAATTCAATTATTTTTATAAATAGTAAAATTTTTTTAAAAAATTCAATTATTTTTAACAAAATTTTAATAAAATTTCACGAAAAAAATCAATTATTTTTTAAAATTTTAATAAAATTTCACGAAAGAATTTAATTATTTTCCAAAATTTTCATAAAATTCAATTTCATCAAGAATTTAAAATTCTCTAAAAATAATTCAATTATTTTCAAAATATTTTTAAAAATTCTATATTAAAATTAAATTATTTTTTAATGCAATTTTTAAATATATTCGTCAAAAAAATTGAAACAATTCAATTATTTTCAAAAAATAATAAAATTCTTTTGATGAATTCAATTATTTTGAATATACTTCATTTTAATAAAATTCTTTACAGAAATTCAATTATTTTCGAAACAACTTTAATTGAATTCCTCGAAAGAATTTAATTATTTTCAAATATTTCTATAGAAATTCTTCAAAACAATTCAATTTTTCCTAAAATTTTAATAAATTCTTTGATCATTTCAATTATTTTTATAAATATGTAGTAAAATTTTTTGCAGAAATTCCATTCTTTTTAAAGCAATTTTAATAAAATTCCTCAAAAGAATTTAATTATTTGCAAATATTTATATAAAATTAATTTATTTTCTAAAATTTTAATAAATTCTTCGGAACAATTCTATTCAATTATTTTTATAAAAAATTAATTTTTATGAAAAATAAAATTCTTCTCAGGAATTCAATTATTTTCAATAGAATTTTAATAAAATTCTTCTTCATAAAATTCAATTGTTTTCAAAATTCTTAATTAAAATTATTAAAGAAACTCCATTATTAAAAAAAAAAAAAAAACACACAGAAATTCTTCAAAAGAATTTAATTATGATTTTTTAAAATTTTAATAAAATTCATCACGAGAATTTAATTATTTTCACAAATGAAAATATTCTTTAAAGCAATTCAATATTATTCTCTTTAAATTTATTTATAAGATTCTTTGCAAAAATTTAATGATTTTCAATACCTAAAGTAATTTTAAAATTGAAAATATTTAAAAACAAAATTTTTTTTTAAAAAGTTAGAAAACAATAAAGCAATCAACAACTAACTTTAAACTGCGAACAATTACCGGAATACAACGATTATTAATATAGATTATTTTTTTTTCTGCCTTGGAAAATAAAAATAAATCATTATTTTCATTTAGAAAAGAGTGGAAAATAAATTTTTAATAATTGCTTATTAAATATTGTTGTAAATAATTATAAATTTGTAATTTTAATTAATATTTACATGAATAAATTAATTAATTCTTCTTGCATTGCTTGAAAAAATCAACAAAATTGTTTTGGAATTTTTTTTCTATAAAAAAATGAGTTTTTCTTATTTAATATTCTATTTCAGTTATAATTTTCTATATTAAATAAATAAGATATATTATTCTATATATCGAAATCGACTTGTTTGTTTCAATATAAAGAAATGTCTGATAGAATATGATATATGAACACTTCCTGCAGGAATTTAATGGAATGGATATTGGGATCTTATCTTTATGGGGGTTTTAGGTACCTATTTCGTGAAAACATAGGCAATCAATTGAATTTAATTGTCTGGGCAAGCGATAAGTAAGTTATACCCTGACATTATTTCAATATATATATATATGTATATACATGGTATATATAATATAATATAATATAATATATATCTTCTCGACTTCTCAAATATTGCTTTTCTCTCTGCTTTCTCATTTTAAATATTGAAAGCATGAAAATTAAATTTTCGTTACATCCGAGAGAGTGCCTGAGAAACTTGTGCGCGTTCATTCTTGTGTCTCATTCACCTTGTGAACTTTCATTTTTCAAGAATTTCCGGCAAGAAAGAAAATACCACTCAAAGGCACAAGCTCAGTAATATCATTTTTTTTCTCTTGAAACATTAATTTTAAATATATTTTTTTTTTACAACAAATGATAATAAATAAAAGTATAAATTTTTTCTAGGCAATAATTGTAATTTTTTTTTGGTATTTTTCTAGAAATAGAATTATTTTTTCTATTTTTTCACTTCTTGAAACATTCAATTCAATTTAAATCTGAAAAACGTTTTCCGAAAGAAGAAAAAAATTCTAATAAAAATAGAATTTAGCAATTTTCCAAACAGAATATTAACAAAATAATATATAAAATAATCAAATATTTCCAGGCAACAATTACAATTTTTTGCGTAGTTTTCTAATAATAGTTCATTTGGAAAAATTGAATTCAAAGTAGAAAATATTTTTTAAAAGAAGATAAAAATAATATTTAGAATTTTTTTTTTTTGTAGAAGAAAAATAATATTTAGGTTCATAAATTCATGAGAGCAGTAATTGCTTTTTTTGAATTTTTTTTTATTAACTTTCTGCATTTTGCGCTGCATATGCAATAATATTTTTTCTCGTGAACAAATTTTTTCATACTAATACAATTTTATATATATTATAATATTGCTGATAGAAAAAAATTGTTATTGAAAATTTGATTTAAAAAAAGCTTCTGTGCCAATAAAATAGAAATTAACATTTTTTTGTTCATTTTCTTCAAAGTAAAACTTAATGAATTTAATTCATTTCTCAAATTTTCAATAACATTTTTCCACATTCCTTTCTTGACTGTATTGTTTCTTTTTCTTCTACATATTTTTTTTTAATATTTAAATTGCTCTGAATTTTTTTTTCGCACACAATATTGCATGCAAAATATACGTGTAACATTCAATTTAATTTCTAATAATAATATACATAAATAATAATAATAATAGCGTCACAAAAAAAGATGAGTTGAAAAAGAAAAATTGACGCATTTTTTGTTCTTTCTATAGAGACCATTCAACATTATTATTATTATTATAATTAATTATTTTTTCTCATCTAACAATGCAAAGTATAACATTGAAGAATTTGCTTTTCTTTTTTTAAAAAAAGGAACTAAAATCGTATGTACATATGATGTGTAATTATCACACACACTTGGACTATATATACACAAGATAGAAATAACATCTTTGGGCTTTGTTTGTATTTAACTGTTTGACAATATATTTTTTTTGATGACTTAGTTTTTCGAAAATTATTTACATAATAAAGAGGCAAAATTATAAATCCCACGCCTCATTTATTTCGCACCTTTTTTCTTATCTAGACAATTGTAAAAAAAAAGCCAAAGGAAAATTTTTACCAAATTCTAAATCTGTTTTTTCTTTAAAAATTATTCAATTCCACGATGGAAAGAAATTCCGTTTTTCAAAAAAGAGATTTTTCTCTAAAAAAAAATATTCTTTTTGAAAAAAAGTGTTTCTGAAAACATTTTTTATTTTTCCCTTAATTTTGTTCATTTAAGTAATATTTAAGAATTAAAATTTAATAATAAGGAAATTTATGTTAAATATAAATTTAAACATAAATAAAATTGATTATTTTCTTTAATATTATAAGTTCGATGATGAAATTTTCGTGTATTTTTTTTTTGTAGTTTTCTTTTTCTTTTTACCAACGAATGTAACTTTTGTATTCCTCGTTAACACTGAAACGCTTTATGGTCTCGTAGCCTAATATTATTGAACAACTGAAACAAGCGGATTGCACGAGTCTCGCTGAAAGACCTTTTGTAAACATTTTTAGTCGTTCCTCAACCCAAAGTACTTTCAATGCATTATACATATTGTCAAGTCGTTGAACTTGTAATCTTGCTCGCACAATGTCCAAAGGATTTGTGATAATTGTTGTTGTAAAACCCCCTAGAGTGCCAGCAACCGACTGAATAAACAAATGACTCACCCACGACGGTAAAATCCTTATTAATTCCTCTGCAAATCATACAAATTTTTTTAGTTCATTATTTTAATCGAAAAATACAAACTATAATAATCTGATAAATATAAATTAATTGCTTAAAAATTAATCATTAATTTTTATCAATTTATAGGTACCTATCATTTAATTTTTTTTATTTAGTAATTAATCCAATTTTTTGTTCAGATCATTTATTTTTTCTAATTTTATTAATTTTGAGCTTAATTATTTTCGTCTGGTAATCAATTTAATTATTAATCAATTTCGTTTTTAAATATTTGTTTTTTATTTTTTTTTATTACTATTTATCTAACAAAAGGAAAATTTAAAGATCATAAATGAAAAATAAAAAAAAAAATAAACATAATTATTAATCAACTTTGTTTATTATTGAAAATTGTTCTATTATAATTAACCTTTTTTAAATAGTTATCTATTTATTAAATAATTTTAATTTTTTCCGCGAAAATTCAAGTAATTTTAATATTTTATACTGTATTAATAATACTAAATACTGTATTAATTTACCTTTTAAGAAATACTACATAAATAGTCAGTTATTGTTATAATTTGTTATTGTTTAGCAAAAATTTGCAAATAAGTAAATAATGGGAACAATGGAATGTAATAAAATTTGTACCTTGATAAGTTGTGTATAAGCCCCACCATAATGCACTATTAGGAACGTAAGCGCAAAGGGATGCGATGTATCCTCTATAAAATCCTCGTAAACCGTCACGTTGATATATTAATTTCACTATTTCTGATGTAATTTGCGCTCGGGACATTCCCGGCTGCAAATTCAAACCCAATGGATTCATACTCATCTAACAAAAGAAAATTTTGTTTGTTAATAGTTCAATTGTTTTACTATTATTATTATATTTTTATAAATAGTAAAATTCTTTACAGTAATTCAATTATTTTCAAAATAATTTTAATTAAATTCCTCGGAAGAATTCAAATATTTTTAAAAATTTCCATAAAATTCAATTATTTCTTAAAAAATAATTTTAGTAAATTCTTTGAAACAATTCAACTATTTTTATAAATACTAAAATTCTTTTGAAGGAATTAAATTATTTTTAATCCAATTTAAATAAAATTACACAAAAGAATTTAATTATTTTCAAAAATTTCCATAAAATTCAATTTCAACAAGAATTTAAAATTCTCTAAAAATAATTTAATTATTCTCAGAATATTTTTTAAAAAATTCTATATATGGAAGTTAGATTACTTTAAATTAAATTTTTAAATATATTCGTCAAAAAAATTTAAGAAATTCAATTATTTTCAAAAAATAATAAAATTCTTCTGATGAATTCAATTATTTTCGAAAAATAATAAAATTCTTTTGATGAATTTAATTACTTTGCATATACTTAATTTTAATAAAATTCTTTACAGAAAATTCAAATATTTTCGAAACAAATTTAATTAAATTTCGCGAAGGAATTGAATTATTTTCAAATATTTCTATAAAATTCTTCAAAACAATTGAATTATTCCCTAAAATTTTAATAAATTCTTCGAAACATTTCAATTATTTTTATATATATAGTAAAATTCTTTGCAATAATTCAATTATTTTCATGAATAGTAAAATTCTTAGCAGAAATTAAATTCTTTTCAAAATAATTTTAATAGAATTCCTCGAAATAATTTAATTATTTTCAAATATTTACATTAAATTAATTTATTTCCTAAAATTTTAATAAATTCTTAGGACGAATTCAATTATTTTTAATATTTTTATAAATAGTAAAAATTTCACAAGAATTAAATTATTTTTATAAATAATAAAATTCCTTTTAAAAATTCAATTATTTTCAATACAATTTCAATAAAATTCAATTGCTTTCAAAATTTTCAATTAAAATTATTAAAGAAGGTCCATTATTTTAAAAACATTCACAGAAATTCTACAAAACAATTTAATTAGGAAATTCTTTAAAGGAATTCAATTATTTTCTTCAAATTTTTTTGTAAAAAGAAAAATTTTTAAAAAAGTAAGGAAACAAAAAAAGCAATCAACAACTAACTAATTATTATTCTATTATTAATCTATTAAATAACCATTTTTGCTTATTAATTAATTACTTTTTTTTAATAAAAATTAATCTTTTTTGTTATGAAATAAAAATGTTCCTTTTTTGTCGTTTTATCTACTTGTTCACTAATTAATTGACTTGTCTATTAATTAATTACTTTTTTTAAAATCAAAATTACTCCTTCTGTTAACAAATAAAATAAAAAAATCTTCTTTCTGTCGTTCTATAAACTTGTTCATTAATTAATTACTTTTTTTCAATCAAAATTACTGTTTTCGTTAACAAATAAATATATTCCCTTTTTCTCATTTCATAAATTTTATTGATTTACCAACTTCTCTGTCAATTAATTACTCTTTTTCTAAATTACTCTTTTTATTACCAAATAAAAATATTTTTTTATCGTTTTATAAACTTGTCCATTAATTAATTAACTTGTCAATCAACTAAATAGTAAACTAATTAAATTAATTTATCTGGCTTTATTAATATTTTCGCATCAATTAAATAATTTTTCTTTTAATTAATTATACCGCTTCCAGTAATTATACTATATAAAGAAATAAAAAAATTAGTTAATTAGTTAAAAAAATTATTAATTAATAAAATTCCCTTGTTAAAATAAATTTAATTAAAAAAATAGTTTTTCCAATTTCTTCTTCTTTTTTGTTTTGGTTGAAATAATTTGTGCTGACGGAAGTAAACTTACTTTGTCAACAACCAATTTTCCGTGTTTAACGTTTACGCCAAGTACCATTAAATGTTGACTAAGAACATCAAAGGGTATAACTATACTATGTCCCACTAGACTCGCGGCACCACCTCCAATTAACGCCTTGACCCTTGAGTCCAGGGAGGATGTAACTGAATTCTGACTGAGAAGATGCCGCACACCTTCGTAAGTTGTTGCGTAAAAAACACCTGAGACTATTTGTATCGAGCTTATCCAAAATCCTCGATAGAGACCTGCCATGCCTTCGTATGTGTAAATTTTTCGATAAGCGTCTATCATGCCTAAAACGGAGACAATAATTTTTATTAAATTGTTTCTATTGCTACAAAAAAAAAATAAGTACAACAAATAGTTATTAAATTAGTAACTGACTGCTTGAGGAATTAATTAAAACAACTTAACTAATTGTAGTTAATCAAATAATTAAAATTAATTTACGATAATTACTCAAACTATTAAAATTAATTTATTGTAATTAATCAAGAAATTAAAATTAATTTATATTGTAATTAATCAAACAATTCAAATTAATTTATTGTAATTAACCAAACTATTAATATTTATTTATTGTAATTAATCAAATAATGAAAATTAATTAATGAAAACAATGACTATTAATTATCATTAATTAAATATTAATCATAAAATAAATTGAAAGAAAAAGAATTGATATAGAAATTTAATTTAATCACTTAGTGAAAAACTATTTAACATAAAAATTTAATTGAATAAATAACTAGAAAATTAATTATTTAGTGCACTTATTCAATTTTAATCGACATTAAAAAATTGGATCGCTTAGTGCATAAATAATTCAAGTTGAGTCATTATTTCAGAATTTTAATTACTTGCTGAGTAAATATTCAGAGAATTATTACTTAAGCGGAATAATTAATTTAGAATTACAATTAAAAATTTAACTATTTACAGGTTGAATAATTTTCTTAATAACCAAAAAAATATTAATACAGTAAATTTAATTTTCGAAATGTAAATGTTTAGTTTCAACAAATTAAAGTTTTAATTACTACCATAAAAATTTTATTAACCATAAAAATGCATTTTTTCATCAATTAAAGAACGAATTGACTCTAAAAATAATTGAATAGTTAATAAAAATAGTTAATAATCAAGTGTTTCCAAAGAAAATGAAAATTAAGAAAATAAATTAGTAAAAAATTGTTTCGTCTAGAAAAAATTGCTACAGTGAAAAAATTTGTATAATATATTGAATATAAAAGTAATTGAAAATAGCCAATAGGCAAAAATGATTTAAAAAAAGAAAAAATTAAGAAAACAAATTAGAAAAACTATTTCTTCTATAAAAATTGAAGGAGTAAAAATTTATATAATATATTGAATATAAAAATAGTTGAAAATAGACAATAGTCCAAAACTGATTGAAAAAGAGAAAATTAAGAAAATAAATTGGTAAAAAAATTTGTTCCTCTTAGAAAACTGCTGGAGTGAAAAAAGAGGAAATAAAGGATCTCATTACCAGTGTACATGTGATTTCGTCTTTGAATTTGAAGTCGTGTTTTGATCACAGTTAAGGGATAGAGGCAACAACGGACTGAAAATGACGAGAGCATGCTCAGTGGGAAAAATTTTGTTTTGTCCATCATATCCCATTCGATGGTGCGAATAAATGGCGGTGTCTCCACTGATGACATTGTTTAATTGATAAATCAAAGAACTGCCACTTTTTAAATGAAAAACACGTGACTTATCGTACAATGTTTTATAAAACTTTAACTCCTTGATTTTGGACATTTCAATAGCTTCTTCTGGGCATTACTACCCACGTCTTACTTTCGAATATTCAACATATATCTGAAAATAATAAATACAATAATTACACATTTTTAACATAATAGAAAAAGTCCATAAAAATAAAATAGAGAAAAATAATAAATAATAAAATCCTTTTCGTTTAAATTTTCTTTCGAAAATGAGTAATTTAGAAAAATTTCCCTTTGGTAAAAGTTGAATAAAATAATAATTTAGAATTTAAACAAAATTGCCATGCATACAAAAGAATTTTTCTTTAAAATTTGCAAATGAAAACCATTCCATTAGCAAGGGAAGATGCAATCAATTATCAGCGTTTCAATAAACAAAATAAAATTGATAAAAAATTGTTGACACTTGGAGATAAAAAATAGTTTCGTAAAATAAATTCCTTAACTAAAGCTTTATAATTATATAATTACCTCCATTATTTGTTTATTAATTATTAATTATTAATTATCGATAACGATAAATAAATTTTCGTGAAAAATATTCGTATAATAAATATTTTTTATCTAAGAAACATTAATATGTGAAAATTAACAAAATAAATAAAAACTACAAGTCAAAAATATCGTTACTTTATTTATAACAAAAAGAAAATATATTATAGTTTATTTCACGTCATAAGTCAAGGTTACCCGGTGCAAAATAAATTCTAAAGCTCTAAAGGTGATAAAAATGCATGTGTTAACTATATTTTCAATTGCAAACTTTAATGAAAAATAATTAATAAAACTTTACCAACTTACAAAAATGACGTAACACGAAGTACACTTTTTTTTTAGAAAAAAAAATGATGAAATCTTCTCCAGTCTATGTTGACACACACACTCTGCACTCTTGTAAAAATTAGGAAAATATTGTAAAAAAATCTCCTTAGAAAACTTGTGTTAAAAAAAGTATAAACAATCCTAGATGAAATTGTTTATGAAAATGATTTTCTATGTGTCACGTTTTTGATTGAATGTCATAATATTTTGTTAAAAATAACGAGCAAACGATCACATAAAAATTGTTTAAATGAAAAAAATAGAAATTAGAACACAAGCAGAAGCCATGAAATTTTATTTTTCTTGAGAGCTCTACCTTTAAACTGCGCATGCCAATTTTAAAGCTCCTCTCTCGATTCTCGAACTCTCGACTGAGAGATTTTCTAAATAATTCGTAAAGTTTCCAAGTGGCAGCACTGTACGGATAAACTTCCTTTACCAAGTGAATCATATTTCATAACAACTCAAGATAAAGTAGAAAACTTGAATTCAATTTCAAAATTTAAACTTGCTATCTCGTGTCAATTGTTGTGGAAAAAATGGTGGAATACTAAAGTGTTTAATTACCTCGTTAATTAATGAATTTATTTAATTGGATTTGAATTTTCCACAGTTTGGTTGTTTATAAATAAAAAGTGAGGCGGGAAAGAGAAATGAAATCCGCGTAAGTATCAAAATTTCACTTTTAAAGTAACCTAACCTCAAAAAAAAATTGTTTCAAAAAGCCGGTTAATAGTTTGTTTTCTTTTTATTCGGAATGTTTAATGTTTCACGATTACCTTGATATTTACTATCATCATCACGCATAGATACCTTGAATCATTAGGATAAGAATAAATAAATCGAATTTAATTTTTTAGACGCTCAAAACCGCCAAGTTCCACTCGAAAACAAGCAGGTCGTCATCGAAACAATTTACAAACCGGCGATCCTGTTCAAGTATTTTGTCGTTTGCGACCAATTCAATCGTCCAATGAATTATCATACATGAAAGTCATTTCCAACAAGACAATAGCAATTTATCCTCCGGAATCATCGACAAATGCCCGTTCAACGGGCAAAGAATTCTTAACGACGTTCACTCATGTCTTTCCACAGGAGACTTCGCAGAAAGAAGTTTTTCACATTGTCGCCTTGCCTTTGATTGAAAATTTATTTCAAGGAAAAAATAGTTTATTGTTTACTTACGGAATAACTGGAAGTGGGAAAACATTCACAATGACGGGCAATGATCGCGAGGGTGGAATAATGCCGAGAACATTGGACGTGATATTCAACAGTGTGGCTAATTATCAGGCGAAGAAGTTTATTTTTAAACCGGATAAATTAAATGGTTTTGATGTTCAGGGCGAGAAGGAAGCATCACAGGATCGACATAATGAATATCAAACTCGACATCCAATTCCTACGCCTAGAAATGGAAAAATAAAAATGTAATTACTTTTTTTTACTATCTTCGTATTTGGGAATGTGGATGTTTTTAATTTATAGTTTTTATTTATAGGCGAAAAGTTGATAGCGACAGTGAGAGTAATCCGACGATTCCTCGTACTTGCGAGGAGTCTGAGATTTTGCGAATTGATCCAGACGCTGCTTACGCTGTTTTTGTCACTTACATCGAGATTTATAACAAGAGTGTTTATGATTTATTGGAAAACAACGATATTCGTGGAACGTAAGTTTTCAATTTTTTACGAAAAATAAATGTAGAATTTACAGTGAAAATCTTTAATTATTAAGGAGAAAAATCTATATTAATAATTGTTGTATTCCGGTAATCTGTTAGCAGTTTGAAGTTAGTTGTTAATTGCTTTTTCGTTTTCTAACTTATTAAAAAAAAATTTTGTTTTTAAATATTTTCAATTTTAAAATTAATTTAGGTATTGAAAATCATTAAATTTTTGCAAAGAATCTTATAAAAAAATTTAAAGAGAATAATTGAATTCCTTCGAAGAATTTTTTTATTTATGAAAATAATTGAATTCTCGTGAAGAATTTTACTATTTATAAAAATAATTAAATTGTTCCAAAGGATTTATTAAAATTGTAGGAAATGAATGAATTTTATGTAAATAATTGAAAATAATTAAATTCTTTTGAGGAATTCTATTAAAATTGTTTTGAAAAGAATTATTGAATTTCTTAAGAAAATTTTACAAATTTATAAAAATAATTGAAATGTTTCGAAGAATTTATTAAAATTTGAGGGAAAAATTGAATTGTTTTGAAGAATTTTATAGAAATATTTGAAAATAATTAAATTCTTTCGAGAAATTCAATTAAAGTTGTTTCGAAAATAATTGAATTTCTATAAAGAATTTTAGGAAAATTAAGTATATTCAAAATAATTGAATTCATCAGAAGAATTTTATTATTTTTGGAAAATAATTGAATTCCTTTAATTTTTTTGACGAATATATTTAAAAATTGAATTGAAAATAATTTAATTTTCATATATAGAATTTTTTTTAAATATTTTGAGAATAATTGAATTATTTTTAGAGAATTTTAAATTCTTCTTGAAATGTAATTTTATGCAAATTTTTGAAAATAAATAAATTCTTTCGAGGAATTCTATTAAAATGGTTTTGAAAAGAATTGAATTTCTGTAAAGAATTTTACAAATTTATAAAAGTAATTGAACTACTGCAAAGAATTTTACTATTTATAAAAATAAATGAAATGTTTCGAAGAATTTTATAGAAATATTTGAAAATAATTAAATTCTTTCATAAAATTTAATTAAAGTTGTTTCGAAAATAATTGAATTCATAAAAAGAATTTTATTATTTTTTTTTTAAATAATTGAATTCCTATAATTTTTTTGACAAATATATTTAAAAATTGCATTAAAAAGTAATTTAATTTTAATAAAGAATTTTTTTTAAATATTTTGAGAATAATTGAATTATTTTTAGAGAATTTTAAATTCTTGTTAAAAGTGAATTTTATGTACAATTTTTGAAAAAAAGTCAATCTTTTTGTGCTATTTTATTTAAATTGGATTAAAAATAGTAAAACTGTTTCGAAGAATTTATTAAAATTTTTGGAAATAATTTAATTTCATGGAAGTATTTTAAATTATATTTGATTTCTTCCGAGGAATTCAATTTAAATTTTTTTTGAAAATAATTGATTTCTTGCAACGAATTTTACTATTTATAAAAATAATTCACTTCTTGCGAAGAATTTTACTATTTATAAAAGTAATTCAATTGTTTTGAAGAATTTATTAAGATTTTAGAGAATAATTGAATTTATTCGAAATGTATTCAAATTTTTTTTAAAAACTGAATTCTTCCGAGGAATTTAATTAGAATTGTTTTGAAAATAATTGAATTTGTGCATAGTTTATTATTAATAAAAATAATTGAATTGTTTCGAAGGATTTATTATCTTTCGCGAAATTTTATTGAGAATAATTGAATTTTTTGCAAAGATTTTACTATTTAAATAAATAATTGAATTCTTTAGAAGGATTTATTAAAATTTTAGAAAATAATTCAATTCTTTTGAATAATTAATTATTATTAATTAATAATTAATTAGCAAATTAGTTAATAAGTGAGTTTTTTAAATTTTGATTATGAAAGTATTTAAAAATTTATATTTGAAAATAAAAAATTTTGTAAGTTGCATAACAATACTAGTTATTTGCTAGTTATTAATTTATTATGAAAGAAGATTAAGATTATTAATATTTTAGGAATCTACAGAGTAAAATTATACGCGAGGACGGTAATAAAAATATGTACGTTCATGCTGTGACTGAAGTTGAAGTGAAGAGTACAGAAGAAGCTTTCGAAGTTTTTCAAAAAGGACAACGAAGACGACGAATTGCTCACACGGCTCTTAATGCCGAATCCAGTAGATCTCACAGTGTCTTCTCGATACGTCTTGTTCAAGTAATTTATTTAATTTTCTTTAATTAATTTAACATATTTTTAATTTTTCAATTTCAAGTCAACTTTTTTCATTTAAATTTTTTCCAACCAATAATTTATTTCATTTTACCTTCTTCTTCTATTTTTCATTCTTTTTCGACTAATTTTATTTGTTTTATTTCGAAGGCACCTCTTGATTGTAACGGTGAAAAAATAATGACCGATAAGGACGTGATTGGTATCAGTCAATTGTCATTGGTCGATTTAGCCGGAAGTGAGAGAATGAGCCGCACAAAAAATACTGGTCAAAGATTACGAGAAGCAGGTTTGTTTACAATTTTAATAAAAATAAATTTTTTTAAACACAAATTCGAATTTTTAGTCAGTAAAGTCAATTTAAATGAAACATTAAATTAAAGTTAATTTACATTAAATAGTAAATTAAAATTAATTTAAATGAAATATTAAAGTTAATTTAAAATTACTCCTTTTCAGCTAGCATTAACAATTCCCTTATGACTTTAAGATCTTGCATTGAGATATTGAGGGAAAATCAGTTACAAGGCACTAACAAAATAGTACCTTATCGTGATTCAAAACTGACGCATCTATTTAAAAATTTCTTCGAGGGTGAAGGACAAGTTCGAATGATTGTCTGCGTCAATCCACGGAAAGATGACTACGACGAAACAATCGTAAGTTTATTATTTTCTCTTTGTAGATAAATTATAAACCATCGAAAAAAATTTATTTACTAATTTTCTTTTATTTATTTAATTCTATGTTAATTTATTTTACTACTTTTAATTTTAATCAGTTAATTTAATTTTAACTAGTTCACTAAATTTTCATTAGTCAACTATATTTTAATTAGTTAACTGAATTAAATTAATTTATCATACTATTTATTTTAATTAAAATTTTACAGCAAGTAATGAAGTTTGCTGAAATGACTCAAGAAGTAAAAGTCACGAAATCCACCGTGAAATTATTGGATCCGTGTTTCACGCCAGGAAGACGTTTTGCGAATGAGGTAATTAAATTTTCTAAAATGTAATCTGGATAATATTTCTTTTGATTATTTTTATTTTTCTTTTCCTTTTCTAATTTCTAATACGACTTTAAATTATTTTTCCAGTTATTGAAAGATACTCAAAACGGATTAAATGTAAATAAAGAAAGTGCGATGAATTCGAATAACGATCTGGGTGTTATTTACGGGTAAGATTATATTAATTACTTCATAAAAAAAAAATTAATTGAAAGTTCAGTAATAATATTAGTTGAATAATTAAATTAAAATTAAGTTCAAATTTATTAATTTAAAAACAAATATTTCTAGTCTTGGAGGTTCATTTCCCGATTTGGAAATTACTAATCCTGAAAACGAAGGATTAATTATGAATTTAATCTACTTTCTTGAGCAAAGAATTAATAAACGCAATTTCCTTCGAGCTGATTTGGAACAAAAAAGTAAGTCAATAATTTATTATTAATAATTAAAATATTAATAATTTTTGAATAATATAAATTCATTAATTCTTCTTCCAGCGAGTGACTTTAGAAAATTTCTCATAAAAATAGAGGAAGAAAATGCGAGTTTAAAAGTAGAAAATGCTTCTATAAAAGCCTATCATAATCAACAAGTGCAAAAGGTTAATTTAGATTCTAAATATTTTATTACTTAGAAAATATTATAAAACAAACAATTTCTGTAATTTAAATTATATATTTTAGGTTTCAGCTCTAGAATGTCATATAGAAAAAGCAGAAGGCCAGATAGATAATCTCCTTCGAAAGATAGATAGTGCAAACAATACGATTAGAAATCTCCAGCAAACAGTGAGTCTAAATAATCTTCCTATTTCTTTCTTCTTCATTTTTTTTGTTATTCTTATTCTTATATTATCACTTTTCTTATTCTTCTTATTTTTTTTTTATCAAAAATCAATGTTTACAATTTCACTGAATTTAATACAATTTTTCTAAATAAAAAAAATGTAGTAACGAACAAAATTAAATATTTTCCCAGTTACAAGACAAGGATGTTGCTCTCAATCAAACAATAATCGAAACGCAGAGAGTGAAGCAAAAGTACAGCAACAAATTGCAAAAAGAAACGGAAAAGATTAATCGACAATCGGAAATGAAAATTCGAGAGGAATACGGACAACTTCAAGTAGGGAGAAATAATTGTTTCGAAATTTTTTTCAGATATATTATAAATAAATAATAAAATATAATTTAATATTTCAGAGTCAACTTAAAGAAAAAGAGGAGAAGATAAAATCAGCGAGACAAATATTGACTGAAAAAAATGATTTTACTTCAGTTTCAAGTGATACAAAATGTTCACTGCCAATTTCACTTCCTGCTTTTAATCCGTACGAAGCTGGTGATAATTTATCGGTGAAGTCCCCCGAAAGCGCAATCATCAAATCAAGAAGGGTATTTATTTTAAAATAATTTGAAAAATTAAAACTTATTGAATTCATGTGGTTTTTCGATTATACGAAAGCCAAAAAGAATTTTAAATCTAGTTTCGTTTCGTTCCTGATAAAAATAAAAAAAACAATTAGCATTGATTAATTACCTTAAAAAATTTTATATTTTTTATATAATTTTAATTCTTATTTTTTAGGATAAAATTGCAGTTGCAAATTCGAGATATCGTCGATCTCAAAGCGCCGACAAGTGGATAGATCATCGGCCCGGTCCTTTGGTACCTGTCGAAACGGTTCTTCAACCTTTGATGCGCAGAAAACGTAGTGTCACCGAATTACTGAGTCCACAAAAAATTACCGACGGCGCTTCCAGGTATTGTCTCATTTCCCAGGAACAAGATTCAGTGGGTGATTTGGAAACAAAACTCTACAAGGTGAGAAAAAAATTTTTTTTAGAAAACAGGGTTGCCGCAAAAATATAATTTTGTTTTTCCCTGATTTCCAGGCAAAATTTTTACTTTCTTCCTGACCCTAAACAATATTCTGATTCACTTTAAAAATGATTAGATACTCAAAAAAAATGTTCCGATACATTTATTTGTGAATTTCTTTAATTGTAAAATTAAATATCAATAACTTAACGTCTTTTTTAATCATTATTATTTTTTAATAGGATAATTCAATCAACAAATTTTTAAATAATTGAATTCTTTCGGCGAATTTTAGTAAAATTTTTAAGAATAATTATATTTTTCAAGAAATTCGTTTAAAATTTTATTAAAAATGTTTAAAATTCTGCAATGAGTTTTATTATTTATAAAAATTATTAAATTATTACGAAGAATTTTATAAAAAAGTTTCAAACAATTGGTTTTTATTTGAAAAAATTTATGCAAATTCTATTTTTAATAATTCAATTTCTGTGCAATTTTCATTATTTTAGAAAATAATTAAATATTTGTGTAGAACTTTATCAAAATTGTTTTTAAATAATTTAATTTTTTTGGGGAAATTTTATTAAAATAATAGATAAACAAATTATTGAATTGAGAACAATTTTTGAAAATAATTTAAATTTTCAATGAATTTTGTTAAAAGTTTTGAAAATAATTGAATTCTTGTGAGCAATATTGTTATTTATGAAAATAATTGACTTCCTCCGAATGTTTTTATTATTTATAAAAATAATTAAATCCCTGAAAAGAATTTTAAAATTTATGAAAATAATTGAATTACTGCGAAGAATTTAATGCCAAATTTTAAAACATTCGATTTTTTTGAAAAAATGTATGCAAATTCTATTTTAAATAATTAAATTCCTGTGAAATTTTTATTAGTTTGGAAAATAATCGAATGTTCGTGTAAAATATTGTCAAAATTTTTGTTTAATAATTGAATTCTTTTGGGAAATTTTATTAAAATAGTAGAATATTAAAAATCATTGAATTAAAAAAAATTGTTGAAAATAATTGAAATGTTGCCAAGAATTTTATATTAAAATTTTTGAAAATAATTAAATTTTATTACCTTCTTTTAAAAATAATTGAATTCTTGTGACGAGTATTATTATTTATGAAAACAATTGAATTTTGCAATGAATTTTATTAAAATTCCTGAAAATAATTGAATTTTGTAGAAGAAATTTTGCTATTCAATTATTAAGATAATTGAAATGTTGACAATTTTTTTTTGGATTTTTTGAAAATAATTGAATTTCTACGAAGAATTTTATTAATTTTGAAAATAATTGAATTTTTCTGATAAATATTGTTATTTATGAAAATAATTGAATTTTACAATAAATTTTATAAAAATTCCTGAATATAATTGAATTTTGGCGAAGAATTTTGCTTTTTATAAAGATAATTAAAATGTTGATGAGAATTTAAAAAAAAAAATTTCAAATAATTGAATTTCTGGAAAGAGTTTTAATATTTATTAAGATAGTAAAATTTTTTCAAATAATTGCGTTAAAATTTTTAAAATTAAAACTAATTTCAACAGAATTGAAATTATAAATTTTTTCGAAAAAATACTTCATTAAATGATTTATAAGTACATAATAACATTATGGCACTTCTTCAATAAAATTAAGTTATTTAAAATTAATTATTGTCAGAAATAGAAAAAATTTAAGGCTTTTTTTTAAAGTTCTTGGTAATTTTATAGTTTATGAGTCAAACAAAACAAACACAAAACTTCAGAATTTTCTTATAAATTCTAAACATTTGATTTTTTCCAGTACTTTTAATAAAAATCGCTGACTTTTCCCTGATCAATTCTACTTTCCCTGACTTTTATGATTTTCCTGACCTGTGGCAACCCTGAAAAACTACTTACATATAAATTAAATTATCATTCATTAAATTAAAATTAATGAATGAATTAGTGAATTAAATTAAAATGAATGAATGAATTAATTAAATTAAAAATATGCAAAAAGCAGCGAGTAAATTTAAATTATTTTATCAGGGCGACATTGTTCCAACGAGTGGCGGAGGCGCTCAAGTTATTTTCAACGACGTCGAATATTTAAAACAAGGTTCACCAAACGAAAGAAAGAGAAGTGGTCCTTCAACGAGAAGCATTTATCCAGAATCAAATTCAGAGCAATGCTTTAGCGGCGAGAGTACTTCTAAAAAATCCCGTACGTAAGTTTCAAAAGACTGCTTTCATAGTTTAACAGTTTTTCTATATTATAAGTATTATTATCCAATATGTGGATATTAATAGAAAGTTTATATTAATATATTTTTCGTTACCTCATGAAGACTGTTAACTAAATGTTCTTACGAATTTTGATATCTTACATAAGTTTTATATTCTCATTAACTAAATGAGATCGTTATTAAAAAAAAAGTTTATAACAAAAACCGTTTTATAATTAAAAACGAAAGAATAAAATTCAACTTTTATATATATAAATTCAATTATTGTATTAAAAACCTTTTCTATTTATGTTTTACAATTAATTTAAATAAAATTAATTTATTACTATAAAATAATTTTAATATTATTATTATTATTATTATTGACGCTAATAACACAAAAGAACTTTAAAAGTTCAGATTTTATTTCATTTTTCGTTATTTTATAAAATGAAAAACAACATTGATCGCAGTGTATCAAAATTAAGTTCCTTTTTTATTCTAACAACAATTTGGGATCCACCCTTGTTGAACAACCTCACTTTGTTATTTTTTTTCTCCTATTAAACGTACATGTGCTATTATCTCTCACTTTTTTTTACAAGTCTTTTCATTTCCTATACATTTTTTTTCTTATAGCCAAAATCATACATAACATTATACAAAATACTTTATTCCGGCACATTTTTCCAATTAGTTGTAAATTTTCATTAAAAAAAAAAATCAAACTGACAATTCTTTTCTCGCAGCATAAAAAAAATGTTATGCAATTATTCTAATAATATATATTGTATTATTTTGAAAATTAATTTTAGAAACAAACATTTTGGAAATTTGAAAAAATACAGAGAATTTACAGAAAATAAATTTATTTTCAGAGTTACAAAAGTAAATTTGTTTGGAATTTTTTATGTTTGCTTTTTTTAAAATTAATTTTCATAATAAGAACAATTCATTTAATGTCAATTTTAAAACGGTTTAAATTTTTTTAAAAAAGCTAAAATTAATTCGAAAAATCAGGAGAAATGGAACGCATCCTAGTTGAAATTAATTTTAGTACAAGCCACATTTACTGTTTCGAATATAAAAAGTAATTTCAATTAAATTTACAAAAAAAAAACAACTTGCGTGCTTGAAAATGTAAAAAATTATTGTGCGATCAATTTTTCTCCAAGACATTCCTCTGTTTTTAAAAAAATAATTTACAAAATTAGAAATTGTATTTAAGAGAATAATAGGAAGGACAATGTGATTACCTTAAAAACTAGTAACGCAGACTATTTTACTAAAACGACTTTTTTTTGTTAATTTGATATTATAATACATGAAAATTTATTACATCTTAGTTTTATAAAATAAAAAGACAATAAGGCGAGTCAAATGTGAAAACATCCAAAATAGATGCACCCAAAAATAATTTAACTTTTAAAAAAAAAAATACATTATTCTTCGCCATTTATCAAAGAATTTTTATGTTTAATTTAAGGCAAAGGTAGCAGAGTCAAATTGACAAAAATCTTTAAACTTTTCCTCGTTACATGCAAAAAAAAAAATTTACTTTTAAGGCGAATTATTATCGTCTACTATTAACAATTCATCAAATCTTTTTTAGACTCCTTTAAAAATAAAAAAGAAAAATAAAAAATTATTAAACTCCGTTTTTCAAAACATATCAATTTGAATTATAGGAGAATTCAGTCAAAAAAAATATTTACATTTGCAAAATCAAATTGTTAATTGTCATAAAACGATTAAATGAATAAAAAAAACGATAAATAAATAAACAGAACTCATGCCTGATCAGATATAGTAAAATGTATTCTTCCGCAAATATAAGGAACAGGTTAAAACCTTTAAAAAAAATTGCATTTTTTTCACATTTTTGTGAAACATCTCCAAGAACATGCAAAAAAAATATAAACTAGGTACAATTATTCTCGATTTAGATGTTTCTTAGAAAGTGCTATATAAAGTGAATAAATACACAAAAGAAAGTATTTATTTGATAATTATACCGATTAATTTCAATCATTAATAAATCTTTTCTAGTTCAGTCAAATGCTTCATTTTTTCACAAAGTCCATAAATGATAATAAAAATTGTAAATTAAACAGGAACAAAAAAATAATTATTTAGTTTACGAACCAAGTTCAAGGGTCAAATTTCTTTCTTCTCAAGTCAAGAATTCTTTTTCTTTTCTTTTCGTGGAAAAAAAGAGAAAAATGAACAATTTTACTCTGCTTCCAACATTATGCTAATCGAGGATTTTTTTTTCTTTGCTTATAAACTAGAGAATTAACGATATCACAATATTAGAGGCATCAATGGGACACCGCTCCTCCAAAAAAAATAACAGTAACTTCTTTTTTAATGACACTTTTAAAAATTAGTTGCGCTGTGACTGCGATTTGTTGTTTTACCTATAACACGTGATGATGTCCTCGTTGGCGTTGGTCGTAATTGATAACCACTCGAATTCGTCATTGTTCCATTCATGGCAGCAACATTCGGTGCAATTGATTTTAAACATTTCTTTGCCTCCTCCAATTGTTTGCCAATAATTTCCCTCTTCATTCGTTCGGCATTGAGTTCACGGAATAATTGTTCTTTGGTTTTATTTGCAAATGGGCACAATACCCTGTGCTGAATTAGACAGAATGCCGATGGCCTGCTTTCTGGATCTGGATGAACCATGAGCTGAAAATAAAAACATTTTTTTGATTTTAAAAATAAAATTTAAATTTTCCAAAGACGTAAAAAGAGGGAGGAAAAGGTGCAGACTTTGCACTCGATAATTAATTTTTAAAAAGTAGCTTTCACTCTAAAAAAAAGTAGTAAAAAAAGTAGCTATCGGAAAATTAAACTTGACGACCCAAAAAAACTTGTTTTAGATACTTCACGAAACTGACAAAAATTCCATTCTATATTTCATTTTCCTGACTTTTTCCTAATTTTCATCAAAAATATTTACTTCTTTATTATCCTGCTAATAAATTGAATTCCTGCAATGAATTTTATTATTCATGAAAAAATTTAAATATTTATAAAAATAATTTAATTCATGGGAAGAATTTGAAAAAAATTGTTAAATAATTGATTTCTTTCAACTAATTTTATGAAAATTCTAATTTAAATTGTAATTGAATTCTTGAGAAATTTTTATTATTCATGAAAAGAATTGAATTCTTACGAAACGAAGATTTTTACAAAAATTTTTTTAAATAATTGAATTCTGTTTCGAAATTTTATGAAAATAGTATATATTGAAAATCATTAAAATGCGAAAAGTTTTCAAAGATAATTAAATTTTACAAATTCAATTAAAAATTTTGACAATAATTGAATGTCTGTGTGGTATTTTATTAAATGTTTTTGAAAATAATTGAATTCCTGAATAGCATTTTATTATTTATGAAAAAAAATTGAATTCTTGCGAATTATTTTATTAGAATTTTTTAAAATAATTTAATTTCTAAAAAGAAATTTATTATTTTTACAAATAATTGAATTTTTGTAATGAATATTGTTTTTTATGAAAACAATTGAATTTTGCAAACAATTTTATTAAAATGCCTTAAAATAATTGAATTTTCGAGAATAATTATGTTATTTATCGACATAATTGAATTGTTTTGAAGAATTATTTATGTAAATAATTGAATTCTTGGAAAGAAGTTTATTAAAGTCTAAAAGAATAATTGAATTTTTTCAAAAACATTTAATTAAAATTGTATTTAAAATAATTGGTTACTTTCGAACAATTTTATTAAAATATATACATATTATGAAAATAATTGAATTCCTCTGAAAAGTTCTAATATGTTTGTAAATAATTAAATTCCTGCAAATAATTTTAAAACAACATTTCTTTAAGTAATTAATTTTTTCGAGGAATTAAAATCTAATTTTTAAGAATAATTACATTTTTTTGAGCAATTCCTGTACAGTTGTATAAAAAATAATTAAAATCTTGCGATGAATTTTATTATTTATGAAAATAATTGAATAGTTGCTAAGAATTTTATTAAAATTTTCAAAAATAATTGAATTCCTGAGAAGAATTTTATTATTTATGATTAATAATTGAATTATTGCAAAAAGTTTTATTAAAATGTTTAAAAAGAGTTGAATTACTGTAAAAAATTTTTTATTTTTGAGAATAATTGAATTCTTGTAATGAATATTGTCATTTTTGAAAATAATTGAATTCTTGTGATGAATATTGTTATTTATGAAAACATTTGAATTTTGCAAACAATTTTATTAAAATGCCTCAAAATAATTGAATTTTCGGGAATAATTTTGTTATTTATTGACATAATTGAATTCTTTCGAATAATTGTTTCTGTAAATAATTGAAATCTATGGAAAAATTTAATTGTAATCTAAAAGAATAATTGTATTTCAAAAAAAAATTTAATTAAAATTGTATTTGAAATAATTGATTTCTTTCGAACAATTTTATTAAAATATTTGAAAATAATTGAATTCCTGTAGAAAATTGTAATATTTTTGTAGATAATTGAATTCTTTCAAAGAATTTAAAAAAATATTTTTTTAATTATTGATTTTTTTGAGGAATATTGAAATTAAATTTTTAAGAATAATTAAATTTCTCGAACAATTGCTGTAAAATTAAATTAAAAATAATTGAAATCCTGCGATGAATTTTATTATTTATGAAAATGATTTAATTGTTGCGAAAAATTTTATTAAAATGTTTAAAAAGAGTTGAATTTCTCAGAAAAATGTTATTTTTCAAAATAATTGAATTCTTCATAAGAATTTTATAATCATTGTTTTTAATAATTAATTTTTTCGAAATATAATAAATATTATGAAAATTTTATTTTAAATAATTGAATTCTTGTGGAAAACTTTATTTGTGAAAATAATTGAATTTTTCGATAAATTAATTTAAAATAGTATTAAAAACAATTGAAATTCTTCGATGAGTTTTGATTTATAAAAATAATTGAATTCTTGCTTAGAATTTTATCAAACATTTCTTTAAATAATTGATTTCCATGAAAAATGTTATTATTGTAAAAAATTGTATAAAAATTTTGTTAAAGAATTGATTTTTTCGAAATTTTTTTGAAAATGCTTTTCTATATTAATTGAATTTCTGCGGAAATTTTATGAAAATACTAGATATTGAAAATACTTAATTGAATTCCGAATATTTTTTGAAAATAATTGAATCGTTTTAAAGAATTTGACTATAATTTTAAAGAATAGTTTTTTGATTTCTAGTATTTGCGAATTTAAAGTAGAGGAAATTCTAAAAAAACAAAACAAAAATAGTAGCTTTTAGTGGCTGAAATCTAAAAAAGTACCCAAATAGTAGCATAACGTAAAAAAAGTAGTAAATGAAAGAAAAAATTTTGTTAAATACCTTCAGTAAATCGTTAAGTTCCCGACTGTACTGCGGCAGTTCGTTGAGATCGCCATTTCGAATTTTGTGCCATTCGGGTCCATTTTTAGGCAGCGGTCCACCACCGCCCGCCTCATAGACCGTCAATCCAAGTGCAAATATATCAGCCTTAGGTAAATGCATAAAGTCCTCGTGAAGTATTTCCGTTGGTAAATATCGACAATCACCTTCCTCGACCTGTGGATTATTTATCGACGTGACATGCCCCAAATCGCCAATTTTATACGTTACTTCCTCCTCCTCCTCGGTCGCCTCCTCCTCATCGAATCCATCGTCCGCCGAGTCATAATTCACAGCCGATAATCTCTTTTCTTTCGTAATAAATATATTACCCGGTTTAATGTCCATATGCACGAGTTGCATTCCATGTATGTACTTAAGACCCTCCGCCACTTGTAACAATAATTCTCGTAATTCCTGTTCCGAGAATGTTTTCTTTTCAATTTGTAAATTCGTTATCGCATCAGCTAAACTTCCACCATTACAATATTCATTTTGAATAATCATGTGATTGTCCTCGGCCCATGCGGAATAATATCTAACAACGTGCTGATGCTTCCCAAGAACGGCGTGTGCATGCACTTCGTTTAATGCATTTTTTTCATTCACCTTACCGGCTTGCGCCACTGGTTTAAGACTCTTTTTTATCGCATACGTACAGCCGTCTAATCGATTTATGCATTTATAAACAGAACCAAATTCACCTGAACCCAGTAAACCAACTTCGAGAAATTCTTGCTGATAGCGCGGAATATTTGGTACCTGAAGTGCCGCTCTCTTTGACGGTTGCTCTGCTTCGTTCTCCGAATCCGAGTCCAGATGAAATTTCGGTAGGGCAATGTCCGGGGATCTAGGAAAATTAATAATTAATTACTAAAATTTAATTTCATTATTTTCCATATTTTAAATAATATTAATAATATTAATAATATTATATTTTACTTTAAATTTATTTTTTAGTTATAAAAAATTCAGGCCTCGGATCGACTTTAAGGCGAAAAAAAAGTCGCTTTAGTCGATTAAGAATACAAAAAAAAATTCGAAAAAGTCGTTCATTTAATTCAGTGTTTTATCATGAAAATTTTATTAGCTACTTCCCTGATTTCTAAAATATTACTAACTTGAATAATTTTGTTAAAATAAATATTTAAAAACTTCTTATTTTTTCTTCCACGAGAAATAAATTTTTAAAAAATTCCAATTTAAAACCTTCTGGGATTTAATAATTTCTCAAAATTACAACTATAACCATGCCAAACTTTAATTATTTTCTACAATTTTTAACTAAACTACATCTAATAATCAATTATTTAAAAAAATTTTCCGAAAATTCTTCGAGAATTCAATTATTCAAATACAAAAATTCAATTTTTTATAATAATTGTAACAATAACTGTTCTTTTTTATAAAAGGTTTTATGGTACAATATTTTCTATAAATTATAATAAAGAAATTATAAAAATTAATTTTTTTAAAATATTTAAAAATAATTTTTTAAATATTAGTTTTTCAATTATATAAATTAAAAGATTTTTAAATAATTAGAATTTAGTAAAATCTTTAAAAAATAATTATAATTCAGTGAAAACTTTAAAAAATAATTGAAATTTCATAAAATCTTTAAAAAAATAATTGAAATTTGATAAAAACTTTTTGAAATAATTGAAATTTGGTAAAATCTTCAAAAATAATTGAAATTTGATAAAATCTTTAAAACATAATTGAAATTTGATAAAATCTTTAAAAAAATAATCAAAATTTGATAAAATCTTTTTAAAATAATTGAAATTTGGTAAAACCTTCAAAAATAATTGAAATTTGATAAAATCTTTAAAACATAAGATAATTTAAATTTGATGAAATCTTTATAAAAATAATTGAAATTTGGTAAAATTTTAAAAAAATAATTTAAATTTAGTAAAATCTTTGAAAAATAATTGAAATTTGATAAAATCTTTAGAAATAATTGAAATTTGTTAATATCTTTAAAAAATAATTTAAATTTGATAAAATCTTTTTAAAATAATTGAAATTTGGTAAAATCTTTAAAACATAATTGAAATTTGATAAAATCTTTAAAACATAATTTAGATTTGATGAAATCTTTATAAAAATAATTGAAATTTGGTAAAATCTTTAAAAAATAATTTAAATTTAGTAAAATCTTTGAAAAATAATTGAAATTTGATAAAATCGTTTAAAAAATAATTGAACTTTGATAAAATCTTTTCAAAATAATTGAAATCTGGTCAAATCTTTTTAAAATAATTGGAATTTTATAAAATCTTTTAAAAGTAATTGAAGTTTTGAAGAATATAAAAAATCAATATTAAATTTTTGAAGACTTTTAATTATAAATATAAACATGATACAATTAAAAAATTTTTAATAATTGGAATTTAAAAAAATTTCATAAATATAATTGAAATTTTAAAAAAACCTTTAAAATTAATTTTATAATTAAAATTAAAATTTGGTAAAATCTTTAAGAAACGTAATTTAAATTTGGTAAAATATTTTTTAAATAATATAATTTTTGAAAAATATAAAATAACAGTCAAATTTTTTAAGAATTTTAAATAAAAATTTTAAACATGATTCTTTTTTCCAAAATGTTAAAAATAGTTCTTTAAAATTTTAATGCTTGTATTATTTTTTGTACCTGAATATGTAGATATTTGAATATTCTGAGACATGTAATTAAAAATATTGAAAATAATTATGGATTTTGAAATATTGAAATTAAAAAATTCTAAGAATTTTCGTTTTTTCGAAAAATGTTTTAGTATAATTTAGAAAGCTAATTTTCATTTATTTTCATTTCTATAAATTTACACTTGAAGATTTTTCATTAAAATTTTTGTCAATTCAATTAAGTATTATCAAAATTTTCAATTAAAATTTTCCAAAAGTTGATTTTCAAAAATTGTAATAAAATACTGGGTGAAAAAAATCAATTATTTTAAATTAAATTTTACAAAATTTCAATTATTTAAAATTTTTTTAATTGTATATTTCGAAAATTTAATTAGAAAAATTATTTAAAAATAATTTTCGAAAGATTGGTCTATATATTTTTACATTATAACAATCGAAATAAGTTGCATTTTATACTAAAAATATGGGATTCTTTTTGGCAATCTTTGGAAAAAAATCGAAAAAGTCGCAATTTTTAAAAATAAGTCGAAAAACGTTGCATTTTTTGATAATAGTTGAAAAAAGTCGAAAAAGTTATAATTATTTGATGCCTGAAAATTAGAAGATAGAGAAAATAATAAAAAACTATAAATTTGAAATAAAATTTTCAAAAATGGTAATAAATTCGTGTTCCTACCCATTGAGACTTCGTTTTGATCTCGTTCGTTTTCTGGCTGTCAATAACATTACATTTGGAGTGAAGGGATTAACATTTGCCGCTGGTTTATCGGCCTTTTGATAACTGCCAACTGACGATCTCGATTTATCCATAACAAAAAGTCGCGACGATTTGTTTGGCACTGGTGTATGCATTCCACTTTTTTCAATTAAAGTTTTGGGCGTTGCTGGCGAATCAAAAAGCCTCAGGGCTCTCACCCTCTTGTACGGTGGACTGCACGCCATTGACATTTTCAATGAATTACTGCTATCATTAGCAGCTAAAAAAAATTCAAAAACCAACAATTAATATTCTCGTTCTACTCGAAAAGAAAATTAAAAAAAAAAATAAATAAATAAATATACTAATTACAATTATTTAATTAAAATCAACTAAAATTCTTCAATTAAAACTAAATTTACTAAATTAATAATTAAGTTCTATTAATTATAATTATAAATATTAATTTCCACTGTATTTTTTGTTTTTTTCAATCTTAAAACGTAAAAAAAATGAATGAAGAGAAAAGAAAATTAAATTTTTTTGATGAGAAATTATTTTGTTTTTTAAAAATAATTTATAAGTTTATATTGGTAATAAAATACCATATGTATGGAAAACTAGATCTATAAAGTTTATCTTAAAATTCAATCTTTCTAAACGGGCGAAAAGTGCATTGTCAAATATCAAGGAATATATGTTTTCTTCAAGTTTTACAGGCATCTATAAAATTCATTGTGTTGTAACTCCACTGGGGAAAATCGAACTTTCAATCTTTAGACCTGCTTTGGAAAAAGTCCTATTGTCTCGTTAGAAAGGGCCGGCCAAAAGTCGAAATTCATGAGGGATAATATATATTTTCAAAGCATATAAAATTTTATCTTCTATCAAATCAGTTCCTTGACCTTATATATACTTTCATCCAAGGTGAATAATATCGACGTAAAAAAAATTCGTCAATCATAAATAAATAAAAAATTAAAATTTAATCAAATATTTTTTAATTTAATTTCATTTTAATTTAATTCTTTTTTTTAATTCTAGTATGCATCAGATTCTAGATAATTATAAACTTCTGTTAAAAATTCTATATATTTAAATTTTACGCAAGAAGGTTAATTTTACGAAAGAATAAATTCAGCTATTTTCTTATGTAAATTGATTAAAAATTCATTTAAATACTATTTCTAAAGCTAAACGTACCTTTCAAAAATCACGTTTTATATAAGTTAAATTTTGATTTAGAATCTTCAAGACGAAAGCAAAGATGTTGCCATCCAACAGGAATTTCCTAAAGAAACATCTTCGATATTATAATGGTATCGTCAGTTTCTGAACCTTTTGATAATAAAAAAAAAATTATTTTTACTAACTTTCTGATAAAATCGAAATAGTAACTAAAAATTCATCTTTCATTCAACAAAATTAGATAAAAGAAATTTTGGACTTTTTGCTTTTGAATTTAGTAAATTTTAATAAACAGGCCTCGGATCGACTTTAAGACATAAAAAAGTCACTTTAGTCGACTAAAAATAAAAAAAAGTCGTTTATTTAATTCAGTGTTGCAACAAAAATTTTATCTTGTAACTGTAATTATTGTCCACGTTTTTTTTAAAAGTTATTAAGATTTTTTTTTTATTTTTAAAAAATTATAATAAAGAAACTCTTGAAATTAATTATTAAATATATTTTTAAATAATTGTTTGAAGATAATAGTTTTTTCAATTATATATACAATTAAAAAATTTCTAAATAATTGATTTTTGGTAAAATCTTTTAAAAATAATTGAATTTTTTAAAAGAATTTTTGTATAATTTAAAAAAAACTAAGTAATTTTTTGAAGAATTTTAATAAATTATAAATTTTCACAATGATTATTTTCTCCAAAATGTTAAAAATAATTCTGGAAAATTTTAATGTTATTATTTTTTGTATGTATTTGAATTTTCGGAAATATGTAATTGAAAATATTGAAAATAATTGAATTTTGAAAATTAAAATGAAAAAATTTAGCTGAGAATTACTTTTTTTAAAAATATTTCAGTATAAATCTTACAAAACTAATTTTCATTATAGTTTTCATTAATTTTCATTTTTATTGAATTTACACTTGAAGATTTCTCATTAAAATTTTTGAGAATTAAATTATTATAAAAATTATTTTTTATTTTCATAAATTTACACTTAAAGATTTTCCATTCTTTTTTTTTTGGAAATTCAATTGTTTTCACAAAATTTGCAATTAAATTTCTTCAAAAGTTAATTTTCAAAAATTGTAATAATAATACTTGAAAAAATCAATTATTTTCAATTAATTTTACAAAATTTCAATTATTCTAAATTTTTTTAATTGCATATTTCGAATTTTTATTTAGAAACATTATTCAAACAGAATTTTTGAAAGTTTTTTCTATAGTTATTTTTCACACTAGAAAAATCGAAATAATTTGCAATTTATACTAAAAATGTGGTATTTTGCTGCAATATTTGAAAGAAAAGTCGAAAACGTCGCATTTTTGGAAAATAGTCGAAAAAGTCATAATATCCGAGGTCTCTAACTGCTTAGATAATTAGAATATATTTAATAATAAGAATATAATTCTTAGATAATTAGAAAGTAATTTTATTTTTTCAATAAAAAATAAAATCATTTTCGTCTTAAAAATAATTATTTACAGATATTTTCTGTCTAGATAATTATAAAAATTCTGTTAAATTAGTAAAATTGTTTCCCCCATAAAAAAGGACCCAAAACGTTTCTAAACGTTTTTTTTAAATTCTGTATGAAATTATTGGACTCAGAACAATATCAATTATTTCATACAGAAATTACTAAAATTAAATTTTGCGAGTAAATCCCTAAACCTATTAACTAAAAAATATCGCATCGAAAGCCAAATGAAATTTCTTTTACGATGGATATTATTCACCTTAAGAATTAATTTTTATTCATAAATATTCAAAGTGTTAATATTTCATTCCAATTAGCCGAAACGTGTCAACAGTGAAATTTTTGTCAATTCAGCCAAACGTTTGATATATTTAACGCATTCAAAAAAAAAAAATCATTTTGTCAGCAATTCGATCCAAATACATAAAAGAACTCGAAATGCTTGAAAAAATTTTTAAGAGAGAAATTTAAAAGAAATAATAAAGTGGAATATATATGGTATGTGTATAAAGGAATTCTTTGTCTATCAATAAGGTTATGATATACAAAGGGGAATTTTCTAACCTGTCACAAAAATGGCTGGAGTCTTGTTGTTGTTTATAGGATGTAATAGATTCGTTTCACCATCATCATTACAGTCCATATCACCGTCAAATGAAAGTTTTTTTGGAGCATGCAATGGTGTAACTCCAAAATCTTCAGCGGATGTATCAAAAACATCTTCATTATCATATCCTGAACTATTTGTACGACAACTAATATTCAGTTCCTCATCCTCAATGTCGCATTCATCAAAATGCAACTTCTGCGCAAATTCCATTTTATACAAAGTGTCACCATACGTTTAAAAATGTACACTGAACACTCGCGCACCAAAATATTTCCAACTTGAAATAATTTTAAAAGAGATGAAAATTGTTTTCCAGATTTTTCACTTTGAAACACACACTTTCTATTCGAATACTGTTGCAAGCGCACCACGCTATGTTTCCACTATGTTCGTTATGGCGGGTGCTAGGAGCAGTGAGCTGATGGGAAATGTTCGTGTGGCCAATCAGACACCGCGTATACAAGCAGCAGGGCTAAAAACGTTGCTTTCTATTGGTGGATCCAGTTTTTCATGATGGCCGCCATGAACGAAGGTAGCGTCATCTGCAACCCATATTTTCAAGGTCTCGTCTCCACCACCACCACCACCCTTGATTTTATTTCCTTTTATTTTGCATCTGCACAGGTATATTTGTGACCTTTGAAATAAAAAAAAGGAATTTAAATACACAGAAACTTGTGGTCTTCTAATTTTTAATAATTTTGAAGGAGAAAAAATTTTATAATTGTTTATTTGAACACGTTTTATCTGAATTTTTCATTATTTCCCCTTGCTCTGCTATTAGGAATGAATTCTAAGAAGAGTTTTTTTTTTGGCAGCTGCAACCTGTGGAGCTGATGTTTTGATAGAGATTTAGGGTAACTTTTCAGAAGGGTGAAAGGAATTAGTAGATATATACAATGCATAATAATGAACCAAAATTAATTCATACAAAAAAATCTAATTATTTAATTTATTATTGACACTATTAGCAAATGTTATGAGCGTGAAACGTGATATTCCATTTATTACTATTGTGCAAATTATAAATTTTATTTGATTTTGAAATATTTATTTTTGAATAAATTTTTGCTAAAATTCAATTATTTTCAACATAATTTAAAAAAAATTTCACGAAAGAATTGAATTATTTTTAATTTTTTTTTTACGTTTTTTTTTTTATTTATATTTTTAAATAGTAAAATCTATGCAAAAAATTCAATTATTTTCTAAACTTTTAATAAATCCTTCGAAACAATTCACTTATTTTTTCAAAATAGTAAAATCTTTGCAGAAATTCAATTAATTTCAATAAAATTTCACTAATGAATTCAATTATTTTTTTAAATACCTAGTAAAATTCTTTTAAAAAATTCAATTATTTTCTAAAATTTTAATAAATCCTTCGAAACAATTCAATTATTTTTTCAAAATAGTAAAATCTTTGCAGAAATCCAATTAATCTCAATAAAATTTCACTAAAGAATTCAATTATTTTTTTAAATATCTAGTAAAATTCTTTTAAAAAATTCAATTATTTTCTGAAATTTTAATAAATCCTTTGAATCAATTCAATTATTTTTTTAAATAGTAAAATCTTTGCTAAAATTCAATTATTTTTATAAATAGTAAAATTCTTCAAAAAAATTCAATTATTTTATCAAATTTTAATAAATCCTTCGAAACAATGTTATTATTTTTTTAAAAAGTAAAATCTTTGTAAAAATTAAATTATTTTCTAAAAGTTTAAAAAATCCTTCGAAACAATTTAATTATTTTTTTAAAATAGTAAAATATTTGCTAAAATTCAATTATTTTTATAAATATTAGTAAAATTCTTTAAAAAAATTCAATTATTTTATGAAATTTTAATAAATCCTTCGAAACAATTCAATAATTTTTTTAAAATGGTAAATTCGTTATAAAAATTCAATTATTTTCTAAAATTTTAATAAATCCTTCGGAACAATTTAATTTTTTTTAAAGTAAAATATTTGCAGAAATTCAATTAATTTCAATAAAATTTTACTTAAGAATTTAATTATTTTTTTAAATAGTAAAATCTTTGCAAAAATTTAATTATTTTTATAAATAGTAAAATTCTTCAAAAAAATTAAATTATTTTCTAAAGTTTTAATAAATCCATCAAAACAATTCAATTATTTTTTTAAAATAGTAAAATCTTTGCAAAAATTCCATTAAAATTTCTTTAAAATTTCACTAAAGATTTGAATTTTTTTTCTAAAATTTTTATAAATTCTTCGAAACAATTCAATTATTTTTTTTTAATATAAACATCTTTGCAGAAATTCAATAAATTTCAATAAAATTTCACTAAAGAATTCAAACAATTCAATTATTTTGTAAAATTTCAATAAATTCTTCAAAACAATTCAATTATTTTTACAAGTAGTAAACTTTATCGCAAGAATTAAATTATTTTTTATAAATAATAAAATTCTTCTCAGGAATTCAATTATTTTCAATACAATTTTAATAAACTTTAATAATCAAATATTTAATTGTTTAAAAGAGTTTAATTCTTTATCAATAATTTTAAAAAAATTTTAACAGTAAAATAATTAATTACAATTATAAACAAAATCAATTATATTAATATAAATTAAATAAATTTTTTGGAAGGATTCAATATTATTGTCAAAGAAATCCCATTATATTAAAAAAAAATGAAAAGAAGTTCTTCAAAAAAATTTAATTAGACTTTTCAAAAATATTAATAAAATTCTTTGCAAGAATGCAATTATTTTAATTAATAATAAAATTCTTTTAAGAAATTCAATTATTTCCAAAGTTTTTGATAAAATTCTTCGCAAGAATTCAATGATTTTCAATAACATTAATTTAAAAATTAATAATATTTAAAAATAAAAATTATTAAATAAGTTTAAAAAAAAATATTGTCATAAAAAAATTTTCAATAATAATTGGACTAAAACGATGTTAATCTAAAATAATTGAGAGAATTCTTTACTGACAAAAATAATTCCTATTGGAAAAAGGATTTGACAGAGCGATAAAAATAATAAAATTCGAGATATTAACATTTTGCAATGACTATTTTTAAGATTTAAAAACCCAAGGAACGTTATTTAAACGTTTAAATGCCTCTCTGAAATCTCGAAGAACTCAGATTGTACCTTATATTTTAGGGAAAGTAAAAGTGTCTTCTACCTAATATCTTAAAGCAGCCGAGGGTGGAGGAGAGAGAGAAGCAACACCTGCTCTCATCCAGAGACCAACTTCTTTGTCCCTTCGTAAGTTATTATATTCTTTTCAAAAATTTTTTCAAGGCAATTTGTTTTTACACAAAATTGTATGTAGATAAAAATTGTAAAGAAAAAAAATCTTCCCCGACAATTTTACGATCGAATTATGACATTTAGAAAATATTTTGATAAAATTATTAAGAAATTATTATTTCTTAATAATCTCTTAATAATATTTCTAAAAAAGGCAAAAAAGTATGTTAACTATTTCTATATTTCCGCCTTTTAAAAATTCTGTCCCACAGCACAAAAGTTAAATCTCTAGGTAAAATTTAAAATACAGATAATTCGCTTAGTCACGCCTTTCTGATAATCGTTTGCCGTTAAAAGCACTCTGAGAATGTCCGGTTTCCGTTTTTGTTTGCTTATTAAAGCTAAATTCGTACCAGCTAAGAATGAATAGTTCTAAATGGCCCATTGTGGTCGGAGACATTAAATAAGAAATCCTTCTTCTCGCCATGTGTCCATATTTCCATTTTTGAAAGGACATTATTTTTCAAATTAATAATAGGGGCGTTACTAAATAATCATTGTTTTGATGTATAGGTAATCTCTGAGAGCAAAAATACGAATTTTTCCCTTTAAACATGAGATCTTTCGTTTAGATAAAAATATATTCTGAAAATTTAGAAAGAAGGTTGTTCAAAAAAAAAAAGAAGAGGAGAAGGAGGGTTATTTCTTTGCTGGGGATCTTTAATCCTTCGTGACTATTTTTTTTTATCTACTAGAGTATACATAAGTCAGTCAGGTAGTTATAACCCCTCCTAAACAACAAGCAGCGGTCTAAGGACCCATAAATATTTAGAGGCTGCACTTTTGGGTTCGCAAAGATGAATTATCTTTGGGTAGAGGAAAAATACTGCAGCAACAGCTGCTGCAGCAATTTTCACAATGTGACGAAAACGCGAACTTTTCAAAATTATATGCGTTTAGAAGAAATTTCAAAGAATTCATTTTTGTTTAAAGATTTATTCCATTTTTCTTTTCTCAAGGATTTTCTCAAAAATTTGTTTTTGAAATTGGGTCCCAAAGGCTGTAAATGTGAAAGTTTAGATAATTGTCCACCTTCATTATTTATTATGTATTGCGAATTACTTTTCAGTTTCTTTATTATTTCCGGTGCTCGAACCAGTGAAAGTTATTTAAAAAAAGCGGACTATACGGACCAAAAATGAAAAATTATGGACCAATTTAAGACAAAAATTTAACCAGTCCGAGTCAAATCAGAGAACATTTTACTTAAAACTATAAATTCAATTTCATCATAACTATAAAACATGAAGATAGCAAATTGATAAAATTATTATTTTATATTATAAGAATATTGTACTTCTTCAAAATTATTTTCATCGTTTGAATTCAATTATTATTTTTAAGAATTTTTAACTAAAATTCTTCTTTAAATAAGTTTTCGAAAAAGTTCTTTCTCAATTTTGAAATCCATTTGTTTACAATATTCAATTTTACGAATTTCAATTATTCGTAAATTCTTTAATGAAATATACATTAGAAAATAAAATCTTCAAAGAATATAAAAAAAATTCAATTAAAAACTTTTCAAAAATATTAATTTCAAAATTCAATTCTTTCCAGAAATTTACGCTATATTGCTTTTAAAATTCAATTATTATCTAAAATTTTAACTGAAATTCATTTTTAAATATTAGAAAATTCTACTAGAATTAAATTATTTAAATACAAAAATAAATAATTTATTGAATAATTGAATGTTTCTTAAAATTTAATTCTTATAAAGAATTTTATCAACAAATTTTTAAATAATTAAATTCTTGCGACGAATTTTAATAAAATTTTTAAGAATAATTAGATTTTTCGAGAAATTCAATTAAAATTGTATTAAAAATAATTGAAATTCTGCGATGAGTTTCATTAATTTGTGAAAATAATTGAATCCCTGTAAAAATGTTATTATTCATGAAAACAATTAAATTATTGCGAAGAAATTTATAAAAAATTTGTAAATATTTGAATTCCTGTGAAATTTGTATTATTTATGAAAATAATTAAATTTATTTTAAATAATTGAATTCTTTTAGAAAATTTTATTAAAATAGTAGATATTGAAAATCATTAAATTGTAGAAAATGTTAGAAAATATTGTAAATTTTGCCAATTTTTAAAATTAAACTTTTTTTAAATTCAATTATTTCTAAAAATTTATCCTAAAATGCTTTTTATATTCAATTATTAAAATTTAGAAAAATAATTACATTTTTTAAGAAATTTGTATAAAATTGTATTAAAAATAATTGAAATTCAGCGAAAAGTTTTATTATTTGTGAAAATAATTGATTCCCTAAGAAGAATTTGATTATTTTTTGAACATAATTAAATTTGTGGAATAATTTGTAATGCAAAAAAATAATTTATTGAATAATTGAATGTTTCTTAAAATTGAAATCTCATAAATAATTTTATCAATAGATTTTTAAATAATTGAATTCTTTTGACGAATTTTAATAACAATTTTAAGAATTATTACATTTTTCGAGAAATTGAATTAAAACTGTTGCAATGAATTTTATTAAAATTTTTAAAAATAATTGAATTTTATTACTTTTGAAAATAATTGAATTCTTGTGATGAATATTGTTATTTATGATAAATAAATCCCTGAAAAGAATTTTAAAATTTTATTAAAATAGTTGAATAATGAAAATTATTGAATTAACGAAAGATTTTGAAATTAATTGAATCTTGCAATGAATTTTTTTTAAAATTCCTAAAAATAATTGAATTTTGTCGAAAAATTTTGCTATTCATTTATCGAGATAATTGAAATGTTGACGGCAATTTTTTTTATGATTTTTTTTAAAAGTAATTGAATTTTTGCGAAGAATTTTATTAAGTTTGAAAATAATTGAATTCTTGTGATGAATATTGTCATTTATGAAAATAATTGAATTTTTTAATGAATTTTATTACAATTCCTAAATAAAATTGAAGTTTGTCGAAGAATTTTGACATTTATAAAGATAATTGAAATGATGACAAGAACTTTTTAAAAATATTTGAAAATAATTGAATTTCTGAGAAGAAACAGTTAAAATGAGTAATTAGAATAATAAAGAAACAAAAAAGTAATTGTTAACGTAAAACAAAATGTAAATGAAAACTTGCAAATTTAACCTGTCAAGGTCAACAAACCTTTTCTTTCCATTACTGCATATCATTTCAAACTTTATTTTTGATCATTCATAAATTATAATTTCGCCATTGTTTAACAATTTTCCTTTTGGATAAATATTCTTCAAATTTTCTCCTTTATTTTTCGTAATTATGTTAATGTTTTTTGGATAAAAGGATAAAATACACCAAATTTTTCTACAGAGAGTGATGATCGAAATGTTTATATTCCTGAAATGTGTCATGGCGATGCCGAAACTTCCGGTCAAAAAAGTTACCAGGAGAAATTGCGCTTGCGCCAGCATAACTCTCTGATTGGTGGAAAAAACCGCTTTTATTCAAAAAGCTTGGAGACACTGTGAATGCGGCTTTAAAGCCTAATGGAAATGTTGAAACAACAGGGGTTTCTTCCCCCTCCTGCATTGTTGGTGTTAAACTAACCTTAACTTACATTTAAACCACGTGCATTGTCGCAGTTGTGGTTTTTTGTTTTAAAAAAAATTGTGAAAAATACTTCTTTTTATTTAAAATTTTTAATGATTTTAAATATTTAATAACAAGAATGTCTACTTGTAGAATTCATAACGTTAGATTTTATAATCTAGAACCAAAAGCGGTAACATGTTTGTGTTACGGACAGGACAACAAGAAGTTGGCACTTTCGAGGTTAGTTTACAGAATATTATACTTCTTTTTTAAAGATTATAAAAAATGTCTTATTGCATTTTATTTTAATTAAACAAATTTAAAAAAAAAGAATAAGCAATTGACAGTAATCAAAAGAACTTGAAATTTATTCTTTGTGAATGAAAATTTAGTTTATTATTGTTTACGGAAATTTTAATGTTCACAACGTTCACAACATTACGACGTTACTTCGGTTATTTTTATCGTTTTACTGTCTTAATATATTGAATATTTCCACCTTTAACAAGATATATAATTTCATTCAAAATATTTACGACTCAATTTTTTAAAAATTGCTTAATTTGAGGTTATTTTTGATATTTCTAATGTTTTCAGATTGTCTATTTTAAATTGTCTTGAATCCCGAAATTACTTTCGGGATTCAAGACAATTTAAAATACACAATCAGAAAAAATTTCAAGTTGATGTTATTTTTCAACGAAAAAGTGTGATAAGAAAATTGAAAGAAGAATAGTGTGTGAATTTGTGATTGAATGGATGATTATCCCTTGATTTGAATGATTTGAATCTATTCTTCGAGAAGAAGATGCAATGAATGAAAATTCAAATTTGTAAGTAAACGTATTATTAATTTATTCCTTTGCGTTCAAAATTTAACTAAAACTTTGCTTTTTTTTAGGGATGACAACACCATTGAAATATGGCACGTGGAGAATGCTCCTTTCATTTTAGCGACAATTCCAGGCAATGCGGATTATTCGATAGAAGCAATTCTTTGGATTGGCTCACGTCTCTTTTCCACTGGTCTTCGTGGAATGATTGTTGAATATGATTTAATAAAATTAGCCTCAAAATACGAAGTGGCAGTGACTGGAGGTGCTGCATGGTGTATGGACGTTAATCGCAGTAAAACACGTATGGCAATCGGTACAGAGGACGGTTATATAAATACATTTTTCATAACACCCGATTCTCTGCTTTACGAGAGAATTTTCGATAAGCAAAAAGGAAGAATTCTCTGTTTAAAATGGGACAATTCCGGTGACATGATATTCACGGGATCATCCGATACAGTAAGAGTTTGGAATTCGACAACTGGTCATGCAATTCATAAAATGACGACATCACGAAAAGAGGCGAAGAAGGAAACAATTGTTTGGTGCTTAGAAGTGACGGACGAAAATACAATTGTCTCGGGTGATTCACGAGGGGTAATTTGTATCTGGGATCCAAATATTGGAACATTAATTGAATCGTACGAGAGTCATACGGCCGATATTTTGGCTTTGACGATGTCGAATGATATGAACATGTTTTATTGTGCGGGTGTCGATCCAGTTATTAGAATTTTCTCAAAAGTCATTTCTAAAGGTCGAACACAATGGGTACGTGGCACTGAGCGACGATTACACGTACACGACGTTCGTGCCGTAATTGAAGCTAATGGAAAATTATATTCAGCCGGTGTTGATGGTTATTTGGCCCAATCGAGTTATCCACCGAAATTTCTCGTCAAATACCCCCCATTATTACAACCACCCTGTGTTACTGTTTGCAAAAAATCACGTTGCATTCTCTTGAGATATAGTAATTTTCTCGAATTATGGCGATTAGGTGAAAGTAAAATATCAGATTTTGTTCCAGTTGGTACTTTACATCAATTGACAGAAGAACCGGTTAAATTACTCACATTGAAAACGAAGGACGATGAGAATATTGTCACGTGTGCTGTTAATAAGACATCGAAAATTATTGTCTACTCAACTGATAGTCATTTGAGAATTTTTAATTTCGACGTTGTTGATGGTAATGCAAGTCTATGCAGGAATGATACGGATATTCCTTTGAATAAAGTACAGAAAATTCTCTTCAGTCCCGATTCGAAACGAATTGTAACTATTGATAACGATGGGAAAAATACAGTGAGATTTTATGACATTGAAAAAAAGAGTAGACTGAGATATTTCGGTGAATTTCAAACTGATAGTGAATTTATTCATCGTGTGGGATTAGTCTGCTTCTCACCGGATAAAAAATATCTCATTTGCAATGATGAGAGTCGAATTGTCATTTATCATGTCGACGGGGATCTTACCAGAGAATCACTTAAACCCTGGTCATTACCCAAGTACAGTTGTCCTGTCACTGCAATGGCTGTTCAGGAAGATACTCTCAATTTAGTCGTTGTTTACGCCGATCACAAGGTGAGATATTTTTTTCTTCTTTAGAAAATTCTTTAGAAAATTAGAAAATTAAATTTAGAAATAGAAAATTTAGTAAATTACTAACTGAAACGAAAGTAATTTGGTGGAAAAAGCTCTCAAAGTAAAGAAAATGTGTTTTTTTTTTTTAATGAAAAGGGGAAATATTTTTCTTCGTAAAATTATATAATTCATTTGAAGAAATATGTAGCGTCGTAAAAAGAGAGCTACATCAGTCTGATGAGATTGGCGATAAAGATTCATAATATCTATATATACAATTTCATTTAACGAAGACCTCCGCCAAATTACTTCCGTAATCTTCCCATCTAGATTATCTCTTTAGAGGATGAATTAAAAACTATAAAGCGTTACGCTTTCGTTTCTCGATGATGGTATTAAATTTTCTCTCTATTTATCCTCGTTGGTCATTAAAAAATATTAAACCTTTAATGTTCCATTAGAGAAAATCGAGCTTCATACGGGACATTTAATTTGATCCCTTTTTTAATTTCTTCCATCCAACGATTTTTTTTATTTCAAACTATTCTTTACTTTCTTACTTGAAGATGAAAAATGAAATTCAAATTAAAAAATTACAAATACGAATAGAAATAAAAATAAAAATACAAATAGAAATAAAAATACAAGTAAAAATTATTACATTTCTTTAAATGCATCGACTAATTCTTGTAATTCTGACTATATTGATATTAATTATTCCTTTCACGTCATCACGTTTTATATTGCATTCTAAGAACTGATCACGGTTTCTTTTTTTTTATCAAAACAAAGGATTTTTCTTACAGACAAATAATTAATGGTATTTTTTCTTTATTTTGCAGATTATTGAATACAGTATTTCATCTCGAAAATATACGGAATTTTCCAAGAGTTTACAAGATTGTCTACCTCTACAGTGGCTTTCGAGGCCCTTTCCAATTACAAATATAATTTTCAGTCCTAAAAATGAAAATGTCATAATAATGCACGACGACACTTCAGTTTTTGTTCTTAACAAAAAGAACGAATTGCCCAACAATAAGGTGAAAATTGCAAAATTAGAAAATGGTGATTCACGTGACGATTCGAATTCTGGTCTTGGTACACAATCCCATCACATGTTTCAAATCGTTAAAAAATATAAGGTAAAGTGATTTAATTATTTATTATGTTAGTAAAATTATGAATTTTTCAAATTTCAAAATTTGGAATTCAAAAATTTATTATAAACTAGTAAATCTTACGCGTGGAACGCGGTTCTTATAATTATTTATAGTTATTGTTTGAAATTTCAATTAAATTCTTTGAAACAATTCAAAAATTTTGACTAAATTCTTCGCAAAAATTCAATTATTTTATAAATAATAAAATTTTTCGCAGAAATTCAATTATTTTCATACAATAGAATTTCTTGAATAATATTTTCTCTAAAGTTCTCGAAAGAATTCAATTAATAAAAATATTGTAATAAAATTCTTTAAAAAGTTCAATTGTTTTGAAAAATGTTGATAAAATTCTTCATAATATTACCTACGTAATTAAATTATTTTCTACAAATTTCAATAAAAATTACAATTTTGTATTTATTTATTTTAAAAACTTGAAACTAATTCTCCGTAAAATTTTATTACTTAAAAAAATATCAATTAAAATAATTATTAAACAAACTACATTATTTCCAAAAAATTTAAAGAAATTCCTCGGAGGATTATAATTATTTTCGAAAACTAATTGAATTCTTGGAAAAAAATTAATTGCTTTGAAAAATACAATTATTTTTTTATTTCAAATTTTAATAAAAATTACAATTGTTTATTTATTTAATTTAAAAACTTGAAAGTAATTCTTGGTAAAATTCAATTTTTTATCAGTAATTTTAATAAAATCTATACATTATAATAATCGTAAGTTTCCTTTCCGTTAGCAAATTATCTAAATTCATTTGTTTGTTTTGAAAATTAAATTTTGAGGGTTAAGTATTGGCATTTTATATATATTTTTTAATGTCAAACTTTTTAATGTGGAAAATACTTAACTTATTAAATTGTCTCGACTCTTTGGTAAAAAATCTAACATTACCAAAAATTCGAAAAATTTCAAAAATCCGTTTTTCTTAAAATTAAACATTTTTTCCTCTTTTTTATGGGATTTAGCTTCATTATTATTGTGATTTTGGAAAATACTTTACTTATTAAATTGTCTCGACTCTTTGGTAAAAAATCTAAAATTATCAAAAATTCGAAAAATTTCAAAAATCCGTTTTTCTAAAAATTCAACATTTTTTCCTTCCTTTTATGGGATTTAGCTTCATTATTTTTGTGCTTTTGGAAAATACTTTACTTATTTAATAGTCTCGACTCTTTGGTAAAAAATCTAAAATTATCAAAAATTCGAAAAATTTCAAAAATCCGTTTTTCTAAAAATTCAACATTTTTTCCTTCCTTTTACGGGATTTAGCTTCATTATTTTTGTGCTTTTGGAAAATACTTTACTTATTTAATAGTCTCGACTCTTTGGTAAAAAATCTAAAATTATCAAAAATTCGAAAAAATTCAAAAATCCAAATTTCTTAAAATTCAACATTTTTTCTTCTCTTTTATGGGATTTAGCTTCATTATTTTTGTGCTTTTGGAAAATACTTTACTTATTAAATTGTCTCGAATCATTGGTAAAAAATCTTAAATTATCAAAAATTCGAAAAAATTCAAAAATCCGTTTTTCTTAAAATTCAACATTTTTTCCTCTCTTTTATGGGATTTAGCTTCATTATTTTTGTGCTTTTGAAAAATACTTTACTTATTAAATTGTCTCGACTCTTTGGTAAAAAATCTAAAATTATCGAAAATTATCAAAAATTCAAAAATCCGATTTTCTTAAAATTCAACATTTTTTCTTCTCTTTTATGGGATTTAGCTTTATTATTTTTGTGCTTTTGGAAAATACTTTACTTATTAAATTGTCTTGATTCTTTGGTAAAAAATCTAAAATTATCAAAAATTCGAAAAATTTCAAAAATCCGTTTTTCTTAAAATTCAACATTTTTTCCTCTCTTTTATGGGATTTAGCTTCATTATTTTTGTGCTCTTTAAAAATACTTTACTTAGTTAATAGTCTTAACTCTTTAGTAAAAAATCTAAAATTATCTAAAATTATCAAAAATTCAAAAATCCGATTTTCTTAAAATTCAACATTTTTTCCTCTCTTTTATGGGATTTAGCTTCATTATTATTTGAATTTTTATTCAAGAGAAAAAATGGAAAACTGAAAAAATTTAGAAACTTTTAAAAATTCCATATTATTTCCATGATTTCCATGATTTCCAGATTCTGTAGGAACCCCCTGCTTTTGTCTGACTTTCTTCTAAATTATCGAATTCAGTGATTTCTGGGGTGAATTTGGTTAAGTTGTAAAATGATTAATTTCTATTTGAATTCGTTTTTTTTTTAATGTAGAAAATCTGATGTTAATTTAATTCTTTTTTCGTTATGCACGGCAAAAAATATTTAGCTGGATGAACTACAGATTTCACTTTAGTAGCGAAATTTTTCAGTGCTTCAATTAATACTTTCGTTATTCTAGAGAAACTTATCGCTATTTCAAGTAAAACTTTTTTCATTGTGTAATAATTATTATTCCTTTGAAAAGTATTTAATTTAAAATGGCTTTATAAAATAAGCAATGCAAAAGATGACCCAGATACTAATTGTAATTGTTCTAGCCATAGTTTAAGTCTAGTAATGTAAATTCTATTTAAATCGAGACCATTGAGTGAAATTATTTAAATTTTAGTTAGTTAAATCTCTTTGTTAGGTTATAATAATTATTTCTTTAAAATTTTTTAAATTGTTTAAAATAAGCAGCCCCATACAACATTCCCGCGCGCTTGCGCGCGGATAGTTTGGCTAGTAGGGTAAGTGCGTCAATTGCTGCGGGTGCTTCAGTTTCTGCGGCATTTTAATAATTTAAGTGAATACATTTGTTCAGGGCACAAATAATTTTGAAATTTTTTTTAAAAATTACTTAACGATGTAAGTTTTAAAATAGATATAGGAAGTATATACCAAAACTTAATATTTATGTATTTTATTTTAATTAAAAGTTGACGTGTTCAAGGTTTTATTTATTTTCATTGCTAACTTTGCTGGCGGTGCAAAAATACCTACATAAAAAAGGCTTTATTATTGTTTTTAGACTTAAAGTGGTTATTATTATGATGATTTTAGATAAAGAAAACCTTGTTTTAAAAGAAAAATTAAACTTTACTTTATTTTTGTCTATTATTATATTTTATTTTTAAGAGTAGTAATTAACACAGAATTTGGGCTTGATTTAATTTCTGCGCCCTCAGAAAATCAACTAAGGCTGGTTACAATAGACTATCTATTTTGAAAAAGAGCAAGAAAAAATTGTGAAAATGAAAGAAAAAATGAAGATTATGGAGGAAAAACTAAAGAAAATTTAATAAATACATAAATTAATTAAGGAAGAATTCTGTTATTAAGTTTTAACTAAATGTTTCAAAAATGTGATAATTCAGAAATTATTTGTTACTTTTGTTAATATATGATATATATTTATTTTTAATAAATTTATATTCTATTCAATTAAACATTGATTAAAATCATTGTCCCATTTTGATTTCATAGTAGTTTGCGGTATTATACACATAAACACGAAATTATGCGCAGAAACTGACCCACAGGAATTGAATTCGCGCAGCAACTGATGCGCAGCAACTGACTCAAACGCGCAGAATTAAACGCATTGAATATTATTTTTAATTCATTAAATTTATTAAAATAAATTATATTTTAGAGATGTTATTTATTGTAAACATATCTTAATAACACAAACTACAAATTTAATAAGACATAAGTTCAATTTGATCAATATAAAAATTATATTTTATAGTTAAAAGACGTCTTGACCAAAATACCGCAGGAATTAGTACACTTACCCTATATTAATAATCGTTGTATTCTGGTAATCTGTTCGCAGTTTGAAGTTAGTTGTTGATTGCTTTTTTTTCTAACTTTTTTAAAAATTTTTCTTTTTAAATATTTTCAATGTTAATATTAATGTATTGAAAATCATTGAATTCTTGCAAAGAATCTTATCAAAAAATTTTGAAGAGAATAAATGAATTCCTTCGAAGAATTTTTTTATTTATGAAAATAATTGAAATCTCGCGATGAATTTTTTTAAAATAATGGAGTTTCTTTAATAATTGGTATTGAAATTTTTAAAGCAATTGAATTTTAAGAAGAAGAGTTTTATTAAAATTTTATTGAAAATAATTGAATTCCTGAGAAGGATTTTACTATTTATAAAAAATAATTGAATTCTTGCGAAGAATTTCACTATTTATAAAAAATAATTGAATTCTTCCAAAAAATGTTATTATTTATATAAAAATAATTGAATTCTTGTGAAGAATTATATTAAAATTTTTGAAAATATAAACAATAATAATTAATTTTTTACTTAATAAGTGAATTTTAAAAATTTTGATTATGAAATTATTTTAAAATTTATATTTGAAAATAAAAAATTTTATAATTTGCATAACAATAATAAATTGAATAACATGTTCCGCCCGCTAGCGCGCGTATCATTTGCTAGTTGAATAATAAAAAATTAAATGTTGAATTACAATTATTAACAAAAAAAATTAAAAAAATGCTTAGAAAGAATTCAATTATTTTAATAAAATTCCTTGAATGGATTTATTTATTTTAAAAAATAATTATAAAATTCTGAGATAAACTCAATTATTTTGAAAAATTGTAATAAAATTCAATAACCAAATTTTGAATTACAATTATTAACAAACACGATTATTTTAAAAACTTGAAAGAAATTCTTCGTAAATTTCAAAAATTTTAATAAAATTCTTTGCATAAATTAAATTATTTTTATGAATAATAAAACTCTTTGCGGTAATTCAATTATTTTCAATACAATTTCAATAAAATTACGAAAATTCTGAAAAATTTATTGTTTTTATTTCAGTGAATAATTTTTTAAAAATAATTAACGAAAAATATTTCGAACATTATTAATTATTAAATTTTAAATCAGAAGGAATATAAATTGTTTAATTTTTTTAGCATTTGGTGCACTTGGATTGGTTGAACGACGAAGAGATGGTAGCAGTGGAAGTTAATCCAATATCATTAACTGAAAAATTGCCACCAACATTAAAGCAAAAGAGCTTTGGAATGTAAATAAATTTTTTAGAAAAGAAAATGAAGCAGATCAAACAGACTACTTACCACTGCAGTGAATTATTAAAAGATGGATTACAACTTTAAAGGAGTAATTCTCTAAATGAATTCATCCAAGAATAATAAATCTTTGCTTTTTAATTTGAAATCCATCAGATTCTAACGGTGGTTCCAATGTCGTTAATGGTGATACATAAAATGGACCAACATATTCTAAATTATTCTCAAGAATTGACGATCTCCAACCAATGAGTGCTGAACTTGTTTTTGGAATTGCTGACGATGCTTTTAATGAAAATGGAATTTTTTCCATCATGGAATTGGACAATTTTTTCCCCTCAAAAGTATTAAATGGCAGTCCTGCTTTTTTGCATTCTTCAACAAGAACCTACGGTCAATGACACCCAGAAGAAATTCGTATGCAGTGTGTCCCAACGAACAACGAATACAAATTATGGTTACCAACCTGCTTAAAATATTCGCCAGTTAGGTAATTGTATTTTTTCATCCAATCTTCTTGTGTCTTCTTCTCTCGATTTATTACTTCTTTACTTTTATAATTTTGAAAAAAAAGAAAAAGAAGAATTAGAAATTTTAAGAAGGAAAAAGAATTTTCTATATTTTACATATAAAGAGAGATTTTCTCAATTTTTGTAGATATTTTTGAATTTTTATTATAACTTTATAAGTTATACTTTTATGAGTTTAAAATGAATTTAGAATTAATAATGAATTTAAAATGAATTTAAAATAACTTTAAAATAAAAAATTGCAAAAAAATGTACAGTTTTGTAAAAGATTATAATTTGATAAATAGAGATAAAAATATATTTAAAAATTGATTTGTTTTTTAATGAGGAAAGAAAATAATTACCGAATATTGTCAATGGTGACAGGACCGTTGGTAAAATATCCACGTTTCTCACGTCGATCCTGTCGTTTTGTTTCTTTTTTTATCAATTTTTCCTCCCTGTCGATTTCTCGTTTTTCGTTGAGACCCATTGGAATGATTATTTTATTACTAAAAGGTGGAAAATTCTTGAAATTTTAACTATTGGAATTCTTTTCTTATTAATACTTTAAATAAACAGATGGGAAATAATTCTTTCGAGAAGAAGGAAACGAAAATGTTTTTATTGTTTGAGGTGAAAAGAATGGCGAATTACGTAACATGAATCGCGTCTGTTTGCTCGATAATGCTGCGGAAATCTTGGTTGCTATATAGCAGTGCAAAGGAAACCTTTGCCCTAAAAAGGGTCTTCTCACTGGCAGTAGATTAATTCAACGGAACTCGATGTCTCGCGGGCAAAGAAAGTACAAACTCAGACAGCAGGAGAGTTATAGAGCTTTTAAGCAACCAGTGCAAAAGACGCTTCACCATCCATCTCTCTTAACGCGCGGATGGAAGAGACTCCTCATGCATCATTTGGTACAAAAAAAAAAATTTTTTTTTCATGAATAAATAATTTTTTTATTTTTCACTCTTAATCTAATTTGATATTTTTCTTTACAGGTCGAGAAAAAAGAGTGGAAATAATTCTACGAGTCTCTGAACAACAACGGTGATGATTCAAACTGTTTTTTTGGAATTATTGAATTATTGAGTCACTGAATCATTGAATTATTGAAATATTGAATTACTGCATTCAGAATTACTAAATTATTGAAATATTGAATCATTGAATTATCATCGAATGACGACAATGAATTATTGAAGTATTTGAAGTATTGTTAAATACTTGAGAAACGTGATGGAAATTAGAGAGACGAGTTAATAATTAATGTTCGGCGAGGAAATAATTCAAAGTCAAACGACAAGCGACAGTGTCGCTTGTCTATGGAGAAATGTTTTGGGGAGTTTCGTCGTGAGCAACCAAACCATCCTTGGATGTGTAATCGCGCGCAAGCGTCATTCAAGTTACGTATATACGGGAGCAGGGATATAAATTGGAGAGACAGAGTTTTGGATTCAGAGGAGGCGAGATTACGACTTATCTGCACCCCGAGACCAGTTGAAGGCGAAATTTCTGTAACTTACATCGCTTAAAGCGTCAGCCCGTTTAGTCGTCTACCCCGCACTCCTTCATCAAATTCTCATCTTCATTCCTTTCTCACTTGCCTTGGGCTTTTGATAAATGACTGATTCCTTTAAAGGGAATTACGCCTCCTTCAATCTCGCTTAAGAGGTCACGTTACCAGGATTAACCCTCTGTCTAATGTTCAACAGATCTTTGATTCTTTTTTCTAAAAAGAAACAATTTTTTAATGCCATGTTTCAGTGAAAACACTAACATTATTTTTGAAACTAATATTTAAAAACAAAATTAAGTTTTTTTTAAGTGAATAATCTATTTTTAAATTTGAATTAATTACCATGTAAGCGAATTTTCTATTTGACAAAATGTCAATATAAATACTTTTATTGATATTTTTTCAAATAAAAAATTCGCTTAAATGGTAATTAATTAATTCAAATTTAAAAATTAGCCAAATTTTGCAAATTCAGATTAATGAAATTTAGGGGCAGGGTTGCCACATATCAGGGAATTCAGGGAAAAGTCAGGGATTTTTATTAAAAGTACTGGAAAAAATTAAATTTTTAAAATTCATAAGATTATTATAGTTCTGACAATAATTTCTTTATAAATAACGCTTAATTCTTCAAGAACTATTACAAAATTATTACTTATTATTTTATTTAAATTTCTATTATTTCATTCAAATATTTCAAAACTAATTCAATTTTGAAAGAGTTGCGTTTAAAATTTTCATAAATAAATGAACTTCAAAAGGTTTCAATTTGAAATTTTATATAAAATTTCAGTTTTGAATGAATTTAATTAGAAATTTTAAAGAACTTAGATTTTTGACGAAAATTTAATAATTCAAATTCTTCTGAAATTAGTTAAATTTTTTAATATATATATATTCAATTAATTATTAAATATCATGGATTTATATAAGAATTTTAGTTAAAAACACAAAAAAAAAAATTGAATTTTAGAGAAGTTACAAATGTTTGAAGAAATACAATTATGTACAAAAATTTATTTAAATTCTTACCAAAATTTCAATTATTTTTAAAAATAATAAAATTCTTCTTCCAAAATTCAATTATTTTCAAAAATTTTCATAAAAAATTCTAAGCAAATATGAAATTATTTTCATAATTAATAAAAGTTTCACAAGAATTCTATTTACAAATTTTTCATAAATTTCTTAGCAATAATTCAATTATTATTTTAATAAATAATAAAATTTTTCACTGAAATTGAATCATTTTCATGAACAATAAAACTCTTTATAAAATTTCAATTATTTTTAATACAATTTTATTCGAATTTTTTTATGAGAACTTAATTTTGAGAAACATTCATTTATTCAATAAATTATTTATTTTTAGTATTTAAATTTTAAATAATTGAATTCTCGTAGAATTTTCTAATAAAAATTGATTTAAAAATGAATTTCAGTTCAAATTTTAGATAATTTAATTTTTATTAAATTTTTTAAATATTCACAGGAATTCAATTATTAAAAATAGAATTTTCATAAATTTCTTGTAAAAAAATCAATTTGAAACTTTTTTATAAAATTTTTCGCAATTATTTTAATTATTTTCATAAATAATAAAACTCATTGTAGAATTTAATTTATTTTTAATACATTTTTATTGAATTCCTCGAAAAATGTAACTATTCTAAAAAATGTTATTAAAATCTTGGAAAATCTGAATTTTTTATCCATTTAATTAAAAATTCTATGAAACTAATTTCTTTCAAAAAGCTTAATCGAAATTTTTTGAAATTATTTTATGTTTTTATTTTCTAAATATTTAATTGAAGAATTTCTGAATAATCGAAATTTTGTAAAATTGAATTGTAAACAAATGGATTTGAAAATTCTAAAGGAACTTTTGCAAAAAGTATTTAAAATAATTGATAATTGAATTCTTTCGAAGAATTTTAATAATATTTTTGAAAATAATTACATTTTTCGAAAAAAATCTACTTAAAATTGTATTAAAAATAATTGAAATCCTGTAAAGAATTTGATTATTTAGGAGAATAATTGAATTCTTGCAACTTATTTTTATTACATTTTTTTTAAATAATTGAAATCCTGTGAAGAATTTTATTATTTATGAAAATAATTGAATTCTTGCAACGAATTTTTTTAAATTTTTTTAAAATAATTGAATTCTTATAAAGAATTGTATTATTTATGAAAATAATTGAATTTTTGCAACGAATTTTATTAAATTTTTTTTAAATAATTCAAATCCTATAAAGAATTGTATTCTTTATGAAAATAATTGAATTTTTGCAACGAATTTTATTACATTGTTTAAAAATAATTGAATTCTTTTGAGAAATTTTGTGAAAATAGTAAATTTTGATAATAATTCAATTTCAGCAAATTTCATTATATTTTTTAATTTTATTAAAATTTTTGTAAATAATTTAATTTTTTGTTTGAAAAATTTTATGGAAATTTAAATTATTATAAAACATGAAGATATCGATTACTCCGAGTCTTCGACTCGGAGTGCTCGATATCTTCATGTTTTATAATAAATATTCTTAAAATTAATTGAATTTCAGAGTTTGAATTTGAATCTTTTGAAGAATTCTGATTTCTATGGAAAAATAATAATGAATAAATATTTATTTAAAAAAGAAGTTATTGTTGTTTACGAATAATTTTACAATTAGAGAAATTTGTAAATAAATGTAATAGAACATTTTTTCGAGTATCTAATCATTTTTAGAGTGAATCGCAGAATATTCTTTAGGGTCAGGGAAAAAGTGAAAATTTTTTCTGTAAGTCAGGGAAAATAAAAATTAATTTTTTGTGACAACCTTGTAGGGAAAATTTTTAGTGAATTTATAATTTTTTAATTAATTTAAATCAAACGAATTTAATTTCTTGCTGTTAAAACTTTTATTGCTGTAAACTTTCAGATTACATAACAAATTAGGAAAATTTGCATTTGAAATTTTAAATTCTGAATAATTTGTTTATTTATTTTTGAATAAGGTTCAGTTTTGTAATTTTGAATAATATTGCAATAATTATTAAATAGTAAATAGCAAATAGTTTAAATAGTAAATAGTTTAGTACAAAAAATTAAATGGCGAAAAAAATGTCAAAGATTTGTTTAATGAGAGAAGAAGGGCGAAAAAATTTTCGAGACAAGGACAACGTGAGATTGAGTTTGAATTTTCTTATTTTGCTTTTTTTTTTTGGTGAAGAATGGGAGAATCGTGGAAAGGAGTAAAAAGGAGTAAAAAGGAGTGAAAAGGAGACGATCGTAAACGAAAGGCATCTATAGAGAGTCAATGTGGTTTTAGAGAGGATGTAGTCGCGATGAGAGGTGTGCTGTAAATTGCCAAACCCGCTATGGTCTTTCTCATTGAAGGCGCATGAGTGTCTAGACGAAGTTTGTGTGAGCTGGAGGGCTAGACGTGCTCTCCAGGTTCAGTCAGCCAGGCACCCAACGAACCAGCCGGGCTGGGCTCTAGGCTAGACTCATCGACCATATTCTCT